TACAGTGATAAACTTGCTGACTGGTTGGTGCTTACAGTGATAAACTTGCTGACTGGTTGACCACAAGCACTGACATTAACTTGGAACTTGTGGGGGAATGTGGAATGTGGGGAAAACATAAAGTTACAGAGCAAAAACTGAGCAGATTGAATTATTTGTGTACCTCAATTTCATTTAATTAATCAATTAATACATTATTTTGCTTGTGTCTCCATTTTTCTGTATCGGAAAATTTGAATGATTACCGACACAGGCCTACTTCTGCCTAATACCGCCAGTGCCTGCGATATGCTCGTGTGAAACTTGCCAGTGTTTATTAGCAGGATAACGTTACATCGTTTCTTATTCTGTGGAAAACGAAAGACTGATCTGCTGGCCACATTTAATAAGAATTATAAACGTCATGGGTGGTGTAGCGTAAAATAAAAGTGTGTCCTCTTTTTATCACGATTGATCCCCCCAATAACTAACAAATAACTGACAAAACAACTTGTTCACCCTCCACTGTTCTGTGGTGGCGGTGAAGTTTCATGTGATATTATATGTGACGTTTAACCTACAAGCTTTTTGCATCTCCCTTGCTTGTTTAGCATAAAGGTCCCAGTTCCTGTTATGCGGTGTGAAAGCGACACACATAAGTGGGCAGTAGCTACATAAGTCCTTGGACAACATAGCCCAGGAACTTGTAAACACGTTCCAGAACTCTGGTGTGAACACACCTTATGTGTGCGAGTGAGTACATGTGTGTATGAGTGTACCTGTTATAACCCTTCCAGAAGAGTTCCACATTGGGGAGATTAGTGGATTTCGAGAGCCTTTCCCTTTGTCTTTGCACTTCTGTGTTCGTAGACAGCTCTTCCTACACAATAGAGGCATTTCACGACTGTTACAGAACTATACACAAAACTTGGTGAGGTGTGAAGTCTGTTCACAGACAGGCTGACATGAAGGACACAAAGTCAGATATAAATGCAAGATAACATACACGGAGATGCAAGACCAGACACAGAGATACGATACTGGCACAGGCACATACACAAAGACACAGAGATACGATACTGGCACAGGCACATACACAAAGACACAGAGATACGATACTGGCACAGGCACATACACAAAGACAAAGAAGTATGTACCTGGCTGAAGAGGTGGCCCAGTATCTGCTCTGTGAACGAGGATGTCAACGTGGTGAACTGGAGGGACAAAGATTAATGCCAAGCACGATTACACACTGTCAGCTGTAGTGTACATATAACAATACGTATCTTACGTTCCAACACCAAGAAAAGCCTATCACCCATTTCATGAAAATAATTAACTTTATCAATAAAATGCCTCTATACTGTGCAAAAGTCTTAGGTAGACAAAGAAAATGTCTGACAAAATGACAAAGAAAAATAATCTGCGTTTTGGTGCAAAACCATGATATTATGGTTTTGTGAAAAGTTTCTATTTCGAAACCTCTCCTGAAGTATTTGCAGCAACCATCTAATACACAAATGTATTTTTTGACTTAAGTAGTAGCACACCTTCTTTGGCTAATCAATACTTCACTGAGTTCTTGACTAATTAAGTCAATTAACTGGTCTGAAATTTAAAGAATTCATGGAATGGCTGGGGTTCCCCTGAGCAGATGTTTGGGAAGTTGTTTTCCAGCCATTCCAACTTGTATGAATGTAAGAAATTCTTTTAAGTTTTTATTTGCATATGTTGTTGGTTTTGAGATGAGACTGCCAATGACGTAAAATCAAGCTTCCTCATCATATGTTACTGGAATCCAAAACTCACTCAGTCGTTGTATAATCCAATGAAGAACTTTCATTAAATTTCCAAATAACACTAAGTCCACAGAAATTTTCTCAGAAATGTATCCCATGTAATGAGTAAATTTTGGAAATTTGCTCTTCAGTTGTGTATTAATTCCATTGCCCAGAAAACATGACTGAATCATACCTACATTAAATTAATTCTTCTTATTATTTTTATTATTATGTCATATACTCTGTAGTATGGCAGAAATACATTACTGACCGCAATGAATAAATGGTAACAAGTCAGAAAGTATACAAGTTATTAGGAAGCGACAGTAACCTTTTGTGCTGCCCAGTCCATCCAGCCTCGAGCATCTGGGTCAATGTTGATCAAAACCAGGCCTTCCACAGAGTCTGGGCTGTCCAGCTGAGACAAACAACACATTATTATGCTAATGCACAATTCAGGAGAACTTGCGCACCCACATAAACACACACTTGCAAAATGTATACTCCAGAATGTAAACTCCAGTATACCAGATGACCATTAATGCTAAAACATACCCTTATTTACTAATACTGCACTCATATTGATTCACACAAATTGACACTAAACCCAAACACACTCATACTCTCCAAAGGAGTCATCTGTAAATTCAGTATCGTTACAGAGGGTAATATTTTTATGCAAATGCAAATCATTGCTAAATGGCCTGACATTAACAACCAGATACTTACAGCAAACTTGGACAGGACATATGCGCCAGCACCCACGCCCATAGCGATCACGGTGCGGAAACTGAGAGCATAAGAGAAGGGCCAAGGGTTATGAGTGACATAAGCACTCACGCTCGCCAACACAGATGTAGCTCTCATCTTTACTACCCTCACTCAGCTATGATACAATGTACTACTCCCCTATGCTGCACAGCCACATGACACTCTATCCCAGACTGCATAAACACAATGTAACCACCTGGGTATCAATATTTAGATACAAAGTTTCTAATATTACAGACAAAAAAAACAAATAAATAGCTACAAGTTGAGATCTACAAATATTCAACGTGACGCTTTGGAAAATGTATGATTTGTTGATTACCCCACATTTTGTTGTACTTAGGAAAAAATATGTAAGTACTTGCACTTCTTTCACATTTTGTTTTTCTTGCCCAATAATTTGTGCATAACTATAACTACTATAATTACAATTGCATTAAATGTACAGAAGGCTGACAGTAACTATGGAAAACATGCAAAGACTCACTTAAAAAACTGCAGAACTGAGGGAATCATCTGCGCCAGCTGCTCCATGGATGGATACTGGTACCTGTCCAAATACATATATGTCCTTTGATCAACTCTTACAGTCAAGGGGGTTCCTATTCCATCTGTGAAGTATTGCTTTGCAATCAATGAAGCCTTTATTACTCAAATAGCAAACTGCCGATTGTGATCTCAACCATATAGTATATGTCCAGCTAAACCGAAATTATGTTCAGCTGGAATGTGAGGCAATGGGGCGCGGTAGTGCACTGGGTCGCACTGTGCCCTCAAAGCTCCAGCTCTGGATCACTGTGTATGTGATGCTTACATGTTTTTTCCTATGTTTTCATGAGTTTCCTATAGACATCTGGTTACATGAACTAGTGTTCTTAAATTACTCTTAGTCTGTGTGTGCGCCTTAGAGTGCATGCCCTGAGATGGACTCGCATCCTGTCCAGGGTATCGTTTGCATTGTGCCCTGTGCTTTCTGGGAGCTTGTTTACTACCATTGTGGGTACGTTTTCAAGTATTTTTATTTTTTTTTAAATGACGGACAACTGAGCATGAAAAGAATCTGGTAGCAGCACGTAATGCAACATTTGAACAAGCCCAGATATTTTCCATAAGTGTAACCTTCATGACAGAGCACATGAATTATCGTTGCACGTGTTAATGTAAGCCATTTTTAATGCAACACACCCAGTGTTACACAACACACTCTGTTATGTACAGTGAGAGCAGACCTCTTACCCTGCTGGGTACGTGGCCGCTTCCTCCTCCTGTCCCGGGGCGTCTATGTGTATCACAGTAAAGTTCTTCACGATCTCCTGCATCTCTTCAAAATTAAAGAGGGTGGAGAAGCAGCTTTTACCTGTGAGAAGATGGGAACATCAAATATTTCAAATGAATACATATGCTATAATTATGCAATTACCTATAAAAAATACCCCCTGACGAAGCGAGGGAAAATCCGTTTGGAGATGAATGTGATAATAAATTCAATTTTTTTTTTAAAGTCATAAGAGGCTCAGAGTTTTAAAGGGAAAGGAAGAGAAGAGGGACAAGGAGAACAAAAAACAGCCAGGAGAAGAGCTTCCACAAGGGCACTTTTAGGGGGGTTTTAGCCTCCGTAAATGCACCCCCCCAAATAAATTTACACTAATTAATTTAAATAGCATGTTCACATTAATTTCCATTGAAATCACACCCCACTAGTAAAGAATGAGCCCCCACTTCATAAATGTCTAGTGACACTCCTGGTCAGGAGTACAGAAAGGAGAGGTTTCGGAGTATAAGTGGACACAGCAGGGGAATACTCACTCTCCATGCCCACATCATGGTAGGTGAGGATAGCAGGTCGCCGGGTGTTCACCGCGCCATGCAGGGTGATGTGAAGATCTCCGTGTGGGGTCTCAATGGTGTGTACCTGAGAGTACAGTAAGGGGAGGTCACGCCCATTCAGATATACACAGACCCACTGCACATCTACAGTATACTTGCACTGTATACTGACAACTATACAAACTCACTCACAGGGCTGCTTGTGCACCGCTTTCACAGAGTCTTACCTTTCCCTGGTCTAGCAGTATTTGAGCAGCCACCTCAGCCTCCTACAAAGACAATACAGACACAGAAATGAACTAAAAATCACCTCTGACAATAATAATACACAGGGAATGACTCAGGTGCGTTCAGGATGACAAGCAGAAAACTCTATAGAAACTAATTAAACACTGATGGCTGCTCAGCTGAATTCTTTTGACTTCTGTGTCATGTCCACCAAAGCTTCATTGTTCAGTAGCAGGGTGGCAAAAAATGGGAGTGAATGGTTAATCAACAGCCACGTTATCTAGCAGATTCTTTAATTCCCCCAGACAGGCAGCAAATCAACACTGGAAAAAGCATTACCGAATGTGCGTGTGCACTTGCATTTTTCTGTACCACAACCAACATTTAAATCAGTAAAATTACTGATTTAATTACAGGACAGCAGCCTATTTATTGTTTTGTCACAGTAACACCAGATACAATATGATGCTTTATCCTGAAATTTAACGAGTCAATTTTAACACCTACCAATTACATATTTTACGGTGAGATTATCTGTCCATGTTAATTTGCATATTTTCGTTAAGTACATCATCACATGTGCAACATACTGGGAGGAATCATGCAGTTTGGACCCACAGCTTGTTGTGACCAGCAGAGCTTGCAGTGGGAGATTCAATGCAAAGGCCACTCTGTCATCTTCATGTCATTATTCTATTCCCACATAATTCACAGCTCAGTTCAGACTGGGGCATTAACTTGTCTGTGGAATGACCATGGAAAGTAACACCTCCCTCTGTAGTATTTATTGCTTTAAATATTTAGATATGGGCCCTGTTCTCTCACCTTGGAGTCAGCCTGACCAGGAAGCAGAGGCTTCTCTTCTGTGATGGCAATCTCCTGCAATTCACTCGTCATGTCAGCTACTTTCAGTTTTCTTGAAAATGTTGCAAAAAGACAAAAATGGCAGTCCGATTAGCACAGTAATACAAGTAACCCATTAAATCCATGAAGGCCATGCTTATACATTTAATATGCTACTCTCCCGTGGGGAAGCACAGTGCAGAGGAAATGTCTGCCAGTTAATTAAACCATTCAGAGGGGAGTAATTCATGCATTTGATACAGAAGGAAAGCTTTTCATGGTCTGTAACACCCTAGATTGCATTACATCATTGTCTATAAGTTCATCTGAATATCCATCCATCCATCATCCATATTGTATGCCTGCTTATCCTATGGAGAGTACTGGGGTACAGAGCCTACCTTGGAAGCAATAGACACAAGGCAAGAAATAACCTAGGATGGGGCACCAACCCATTGCCATACCATTCACATCTCTGAACAATTCAGAAACTTCAATATACCTTAGTGTATTTTTGAACTGCTGGAAGAAACCAGGTAACCTGGCATAGGTAGAGTTTAGGGGGAGGGCAGGGGAGGCACTGCAAAGTCACATGAGTCTTGCCCCACAATGACAAACTCCTCACATGTAGATCTGGACCAGAGATAGTAATCTCTGAGCCTCCGTGCCGCCCTGCCTTCCAAACATAGTCTAGGGATATGCCTTTACATGGACATCCATATTTCTTACAATACCGGCCGCAGAGAATTCTTGGGCACGAAGAGCATCTTCTTAGCAGTTCATTAAAATAAATTCAACCACTGAACAAAACTTTGATCTTTCAGAAGCTTTATGCTTTCTGTGACAGGAACGACATATGAAGCCTTTAGTATGTGAGGGACTCACTGCCAGGCTGCAGAGGTAAACAGCCACGAGACCCAAAGTGCTGCCCTACTTGCCAGTACCAGAGGAAAGTTCAGAAAAATGCGCCAGGCGCACCAAAGCAGTAAAACCACCCAGGCAGGTTTGTACCTAACAATTCGCCACGTTGAGAGCTTAGGAGAACATGTAGAAGGATGTTCTCAACATGTTGTTGGAAGAGACTAGAAATGCCAGAACGAAAGAAAAACACACTGTCATCGGCAGACAAAGACAATCTGATCAGAGCTTCAAACCTCAGGTCATGAACAGACATGTTGAGTGTAAATATTAATAGCCCGCTAGGTATAACACTGCTAACCCTTATTAACCTCATTAAAAAAATTTAAAATTGGCAAAGACCTCTGATAATTACAAATGGCTTCTACCACCCTCTGCATGCTGTAAGTGTAATGTAAATGTAAACATATTTCAATCATACTGGAGACAGAAGTAAGCATTGAAAAAGCTAAGAACGGTGGGCTAGGACTTACTATGGCAATGCGACAACTGTCTGCTTGGGGCAATTTGCCACCACAAGGCTTCACTATTGAGAAATTGTCCTAACAGCACAAAAAACATCAACAGTTCAGTTTTTGGCACAGCTACTAAGAGCAAACTTTTGTCCCTTCAGTTTCTGGATCAACTGCATTGTTGGCAGGAGAGGCAATCGGATCTTGTAGAGCAGAAGCATAGCACTGTCAGGATAATACTGCCCATAGAGACATTACAAGAAAATTCAGTGACAATTTCAGTCTTGTTTGACACCTACCAGATGTAGCAGATATGGCTTGGCTTTTACCCACTGCTGTGCTACTGAATTTACTGAGCAAACACTTTTGCTATTGCTTCTATGTACACGTATCAGATAAAGGGTCATGGTGAACCTGGAGCTTATCCCAAGAAGCAAAGGGCACAGAGTAGGCGACCCTGGATTAAATGTCAGTCCATTGCTTGGTAGCTCAAATACAATAAATTAAAACAACAGGCCCATTGTAGTGCGTCTCCACTTGCAATTAAACTGCAATAGAGAGAGCGTGCTATTCCAAGCCGTTAAAGCAAGATCATAGGGGACATGAAGAAGAAGGGCTGGTGAGGGCACTTACGGCCTATTGTTCCTGCTACTGTGAATCTTTTGTTCAAAAGGCTTTGGCTGTCATCAGGCACAAAGAGAGGAAAGTATGGTGGAGGGAGGCAGTGCGTCATGAGATGCAAGTCTCACTAAGTTCCAAACAGAAACCATTAGTCACCATATGCCCAATTGCTGGAGTTGTTTACTATTTATGTCACATTTGTCACTCTCCCGGTGTCTCACCCACATCCAGTCTTCATTGGTCAGATATGAAAAATATGAAAAAAATGTCTGATGTAACTAAACACTGCCAGTCCATGGTATGCAATATATATCTGGGTACAATGCATGGTGTTTACACAACACTGGGATATCAGAAAATGACACAATTGCATAATTATTTTGCATTAATGCCCACACACATCCCACCCACCCGCCCTCTCTCTCTCTCTCTCTCTCTCTCACACCCACACACATTTGTATTCATATAGCATTCATTTCTATGGGAAAAACCCTAATCCCAATAATGACAACCTTGACCCCAACCCAGCCCTAACCTTAACCATAAGTAACCATTTTGGCATTTTTATTTTTTTGATTGCATTCACTGATTTTTTATAAAATTGAGGTTTTCCAAATGGGGACCTGAAAAAAATGTCTCCAAAAGTAAGGAAATTTCAGGTTTTACCACACTTTGGGGACATTTTGGTCCCCAAATGTGACTTCTGCAAACCCACATATACACACACACATGCAGTCTCCCTCTCCTGTTTCCTCTCCCCTTTGCCGCTTAATCTCCACATTCCCCCTAAGAGTAGGCCAGTGTGCTCTGGAGCGTGTGAGGACTGTTTAATGCATGGGGGAGCAGTCTGTCACCAGGGCGAGAGGCAGAGAGACCCACAGAGAATTACAATGAGACAGGGGGATGGACGGCCACAGACGGACTAATGGAAGCAGAGGTGTAAAGAGAGACAGTGTATGGGGGGTAAATTTACTGACAGAGCGAAAAAGCAGCGGTAAACACAAGTAATTAGATATTATAATGAGTAAACAAGATCAAAGAGGCACAAAAAGGGAGAGGGAAATCAACACCATGGATAAAACATAATTATATAGATTCACAAGTTTCATCACTCCAGACATTAATTGCTTCATCTATTCTTAGGTCTCATTCCTCAATTCTGTCATTCTTGGCCATCAGTTCCAGACCCTGGAGGTCTGGGGGTGGGCGGGGGGGCAGTCTGTCCTTCTCGATCCATTATGTAAGTCCTTATATAACAGCAATATTGACCAGTCCCACAATTAATTCTCACCAGCTTTGTTAGTCCATAAGTTTATTCACAAGGGTCTTCGTTCCTGTGACGCACTTGACATGGATCAGAACTCCTGGCATCTACTTTGCTGTTATCGGTGATGCTTCCTTATTTAATATTCTCAGGGAAGTCAGCACATTTAATGTCCAGACAGATTTAAAAATTATGTTTTGCTCTACTTTTTATTTAAACTACTATTGGTTTTAAGTGAAATTTAATGGATATGTTTAGATAAATTCTGACATCACCCACTCTCTGTCGCAGCCACCCATGTGCTTTGAAAAATACAAGGATATCGTTCATACCTGAATTCTGGGCAAAATTAGTGTATTTCTGTCTAGGTCAAGCTGAATCTCTCAGTGTTTTAACCTTTCTTGCACACGTAATTTTAGATCCAAGTATTCGTGCCGCTCCGGTACCGCTCCTTGTACGGCTGCACCCATCTAAGGCAGGTGCTGATTACCCACCATCAATCTGACCTTCACCAATTGAACTACATGCGGATGCCCCCCAGAATTTCTGAAGGTGAAATTTTTAGGTTGCCAGGAGAAAAACCTTTAAGTTGTACCAAAAAATTAACTGAGATCACAAAAACAAAACTTTTCAAGACCAGCATGTTTTTCTAGTTTTCTTTCTGCAATATTTGCTTCTGAAACTTTAGGTGGACAGCGACAACGCGCTCCTTCTGGAAGAAAACAGAGCTGCAGGGAAAATGAGAGACAAACAGATAGATGGAAAGCCAAAAGCCCTCGCCACCATGGAGATCCCGAGAGATGCCAAGCTCCCTGTTTTTGTCTCTTGCCCCTTCTCTTATTCCCACAGAATCAGATGGGTATACATCACCTCTAAGCTTAAAAACTGGATGGAAAACACAGCTGCCCTGTGAAGCCTGAGGGGGCCTCACAAACACTTTCTCTGCAACACTACTACTCTAAACTTCAGCACTATCTGGGCCATTGCATCACAGCGTGACCCAGACCAATCCATCATAGCACTACCATTATTGCCCAATACGCCTATCTGAAACCAGAAAAATACTGTCCTAACTCATCTAACTCAGTACAGTCCAAGAATAACTAATTTGTTCTCCTTAAGTTTTGTGAAAAAGTAAAAAGAATTAATCTGGCATAAAGCCATTGTGCAGGCTATAAAAATTTTAGCAGTAAGATAAGCAGAATATCTCATGCAGTATTAAGCAGCATCTACTCTAATGGGTAACAGTTACACTGAGCTTTGTCTATGCACAGTGGTTACACATTTTGTAGAAATACATTATAGATGTACATTTATTTGTTTTATGTATGCTTCTGTCTAAAGTGGCATACGATTGAGGCAGATAGTACATCAGAAGCAGCTGTCAAGAAGCCAACTAGGCACAAGTGCAGCTAGGCTAAGTTTCCAATTAATCACTAGTAACAAGTGTAAGTCAGCACTGAAGCAAGACGTATACCATACATTACAGAAACAGTGCGTGAACTTAAGAACAATTAGTCAAATCAAAGTACAAGAATATAAGACCATCCAGGACACAAAAGAGACCAGCTTTACCCTGGTGAGAATTGCTTTGGTTAGGATGGCAAACAGAACCATGTGACACAGGGTTGGGAGAAGGAGCGGGTGTTTTATTTGGGGTGGATTACAGGGACAGGGTGGGAAGAGGCTTAAAACAAAACAGCAATGGCACACAAGAACAGAGAAAAGCCGCCCGGGCAAGTGTTGAGTAAAGAAAATAAAACTGCAATTTGGGTGTGGGCATCGGGGAGGGAGGATTTTTGAGACAGGAATAGAATAGGCGTCAAAGTCTCGGCATGTTAACTGAGGATGAGGGAAAAACAACAAACATTTATAATACTAGCACAACAAAGAAGCAGTGGATTAAATGACGACAATATTCCTGTTCACTTGATTCAACCCTCACTCTCCTACAACAAGGTATAATAGTTACACTTTTACATAGCTAACAGTGCATTCTGAACTGAACTAGGAGAATCACAACCATGCATACTCCTTCATATCCCGTGCAACCAGTCATATCTGCTACTTCCATTCTCAATCAATCCCATCTATCCACAACAAACCAGCTGTCTGCTGTGTAACCAAAATCTCCCAAGCCTCAATGATTTTCATCCACACTAAAGATACAGCTAAAAGAAACTCAAGACAGCTTGTCATTTTATTCCATCTTATATGCTACACCAAGAGCAAATACCCGGGCCAAACTCACATTAAACAATATTTTGTTAGCTATAGTCTGTAATCCCACTGACTTGTTTTAAGTAGCTGTCGCTGTGAGTTGTAGAGTTGTCCTTGGGTTACTGCTGCCGCCGCGCTGTCTCATCCATGAAGAACCCAGTTTAGCGCACGACCTAGCAGGCAATGTGGTCTCTCGTGGGTACAGTCATCAGTATATCCTCACTCATTCCAGGTGCCTTTCCTTAGACAGAAACAGCTGCAGGCATCAAGACCCGCTTGCCCAATCTACATTCCAGGCTTAAGTTCATTGCTCTATTTAGCCCTCCGCACTGCTTCCCTCAACCTTGGCAGAGGTTAAGTTATTCCCAGCTCTGGCACTTCGAGCTCCTCCCTTACGAAATATAACATCTTTTCCTGAGATACAAGTGTCACTGTGCACCGCATGACTGACTATGCAAGTTTGCGTGCCAGTTTGACCAAACACACCCATTGAAGCATGTTTGTCGGTTTGATCAAATTCATGTACACAACTGCATGTGAACGTGCCTGCGTGTTTATAAGCATAAGTATGTGCTACTTCCTCAGTCCCACTTTATCTAAGTATAAACACAAGATGAGGCACAGTTTACTTAAGAAAGATTATGTGACATCAGAATGGTGGTTTCAATATGAAAGCAGATACCACACAGACCTTTGGGCTTGTGACAGAGACAAGGAGGCTAAAAACTGAAATAGCTTCTAACCGCAAGCTTTGGTTTCCTAGATAGACTGAAGAATCCTAACCTGAAAACTACAGCCGTTATACCTCAGTTTGGACAATTCAAATTACTAAAAATTACAACTGATACTGCAACCACCCGGGTAAAACACTTGCTTGTTTGTTGTCTTTACTTAAAGACATGCACCTGATTACACAGAAGACTAAGTAAAAGTGCATATTAAATACCTACCTAACATTTTGACTGTTTGGTGAGCACAGAACTTTATCAGCTGCTTTCTTTATGAAAAAGACACTCCATCAAATTTATGTCTCAAACTAGATTTCAAATCCAACTGGACCCTTCTGCATTTATAAAGGATATCACTGTTACATTATCATTATTTTAAGTAGTTCCAAAGGTACTTCAATCCAAAGCAACTTACTTTAATCCAGAGCGAAGTACTTTAAAGTCGAGAACTTTATTACAGCAACTGTTTAGAAGCATTCTCAGGAGATGAATAGCAAAACCTGTCCTGTGCTTTAAAGGTGCAGTTTTCAGTTACAGGACCAGTTCCTTCTTCATAAAGCTACCTGCTGCATTGCCTGTGGGCACTCAGACGTCACTGAGAAGGGAAAAAAAAACACTGATGCTCCAATCTTCGCCTTCAGCTGTGTTCTCTCACCTATAAAAACTTAGCAAGTTCATTTGGCTTCAGAATTTCTGCTGCCACACAACGATAACTCTTAATATTCTATAAAGAACATATACATTAAAAGTAAAAACAGAGCAAAGCTGGAGTTTATCTAACAACCGAAAACAATTACCACAAATACCCCATTTGTACATTACTTTGGACAAAAGTGCCAGCTAAATAAATAAATACAAATGTACCATTACTGCCTTTGAGCTGAAAGATAGATCTGTACCAAAGGGAAGCCAAGAGTACACTTCTTCTGTAATATTATTAAAAATTTGGTTTGCTATTTATATTACATAACTGCACATTTTGTTCCTGGCTAATATCTGCCATACAGAAGTATTACCACCAATTGTTTGCTCTTCTCCCTTGCCGTTCTTTCAAATCAGTGATGTTCAAACAAAACAACTCAGCAAATGTATTTTGGAGACCTGATTTATTCTACTGCTTTAAACCTCAATACTTAGAATTAAACGTAGAGTAGCAGCCGGTCGATACGTACCAGACAATGTGGTGGATTAAACTATCCAGAATAGTGTGCATGCTTTTGTAGTGTGGCCTGACCCCAGAAACCAAAAAAATCTAACTAGGCAGTAGGCCATCTATGCAAGATAGTCTCAATACACTGTTACAGGTGTACAGGTTGGGAGTTTAAATCTCGGCTCTGTTTGGTGTGTATACAGTTCTCCCCATATCATGCAGAAGTCTTCTGGGTACTCTGACCTCCCTCCATAGTCCAAAGTCGGGCAATTAGGTCAACCAATGTCTCGAAATTGCCTAAAGAGTAGTGCTGTGCTTGTGAGTGTGTGCGTGTTTGTGCCCTTTGAATGGCATCCTTTCCAGGGTGTACCCCAGCCTTGTGCCCTATGCTGTCCCAGATAGGCACCTGGTCTCCCCTGACCAGAATAAGTGATTAGAAGATGAATGTATTGCAAAATATCAACAAATGTTGGTGTGGGAGAGTACAGAAGTTAAGTAAAGTGTAATTCATGTAAAAGTATGGTAGAATGCAGCAGAGCAACAAGGGCTGTATACTGTGTGGATGTTATGTGACATACGTTAATGCTATGCTGATGTAATGTTTATGAGTATCTGTAAAAATGGTCAGCAGCCTCAAATAAGAACATATGAACCAGTCTGGCTGGTTTTCTTTATATTTCATTCTCCTAGTTTTCTCTTGGGTGGATGCTTCCATGTAGCTTTGTTTCAATATTTTACAAGAATAGCTTAGATAGTCAGCATTATAGCATCTTTTAAGAGGGACCCCCCTCCCCAATTGTCCCCGACACATCTAATATACAAAGAAAGCTAATATACATGTTTCAAATATCAAAAAATGTACCTAGCAAACAGCTACTTGGCTCCATATTACAGTCCTTGTTACCTATTATTAAATAATTCTATACATTTCTGCAATATATCGTTTATAAAAAGCTATGCTACATTAGCTAATCAGTATGCATGCGTATGCAAGATTATTCTAACTATATGAATTACCATTAAATGGAAAGAACAGGATCATTACTGGCACTTTAACATATCCTATTTTTTAAGCTATGCTATTAAGTCATTGCTCTTGTTTATAACTGATAAGGCACAAAATCTTCTTTCATGCTCTAAAATTATTGGCTACCATTTGTTTGGGAAGTCTAACTCAAATACTTACTGTAGCTTTGTGGTCTCTAGCTGAATTTGTGGTTCAGTGAGTCTTTGAGAGTCTTCAGTATTTATAAATACTGTCTCATCTTGATACAAATATGAAAGTCTAAGTACTCAGAGCTGTTATGTACAAGTGAGACAAATAATTTATCGAATGCAAATTCATAGTTATTTAAATGGTATTTTAACTAAGGAAGAACATATTTAGAATAACATCTCCGATGTGTTGATGTTTTCATTTTCTTCTTGCCTTGCTCAATGGTGTGGCAATCACCAAATACTTGTATGCATACATACACGCACACACACACACACACACACACACACACACACACACATACCAAATCTTGCCCATGCTTAATACTAAAGTAATATTATAAATATAACGTGAAACTAGTTTATTATGCTCATTATGCAAAACTATACCCTAAATCACTGTGTACCAATTACATGACGTATTGCACAATGCATATTCATAACACATTTATGTATTCATATTATATCCTCCTGAGACCCGACCTATTCATTTATGTCCATTGTAGTGGACATTGTATTTTTGCATTTATTTTTTCACTGATGTTGGGAAACGTATTTATTCTTGTTGTGCACTAAAGAGGACATGCTGTGAAATTAAAATAAGAATAAATTTGAAAAAATCTAAATTGTAAGATGTCTTATTTCCTCCAAAGACAAATAACCTACAATTGAAGGACACTTTTTTCCTTGGGTCTCAGGAGGATATAGTATTAAATATTATTAAATTCAGCATGAAAAGAGCACTTATGCTTCAAGAGAAATTATTTAATAATTATTATTACACTAATCAGTAACAGGCCATACAGGTTCTGTCAAAAAGTGGCCTAAACAATTTTAAAATAAATTCTCTCGGAATGAGTTGAAAAAAGCAATCCATCTGTGCATGCATGTTTCTGCACATGACCATGGGTAGTGCCTAAAAGCCACAGTATTGATCTTCTTTCACCCTGCAGCGAAGTCCTTCTGTATTTACCTAATTGTGTGTCTATGTCTGTTTGTGTTTGTGTGGGTTTGCATAGATCGCATTTGAGGACCAAATTGTCCCCAAAGTGTAGTAAAACCTACTTTTGGGGACATCTTTTGAGGCCATATTTGGATAACCTCAGGTTTATAAAAATCTGTGAATGCAATCAAAAAAGTAAAAATGCCAAAAGTCTTGTATTTGGGTTGGTTACTTATGGTTAAGGTTAGGGGTGGATAGAGGTTAAGGGTGTCGTGATTGGGATTATGGTTTTTCCCATAGAAATGAATGGACGGTCCCCATTTAAATAGGAAGACCAACTTTTGTGTGTGTTTGTGTTTGTGTGTGTGTGCGTGCGTTGGCGGGGGGTGGGGTGGTACAAGTCCAGCCTATTACTGCCGGGAATAATGCTTCTCTAATATAAATGACTGTGAATAAAAGAAATCCATTCATGGATGTTGCTCCGTTACGGATCGCCAATTGAGGGCGCGGGAACAGCACACCTCCGTTTGACATTGACACACTGGCGATCGGTCTCCAAAAGGAGCGAGTGCCGCTGCTTTGCATTAGCGCTCGGTGAGCAAACGTTCACCCGCACAGACGCTCATTTTACCGTGCTCCCTTACCACAGCATACTTTTAGGTTATATTCAATTCATGTAAGACACATTTCTGAAGGCATTGAGTGTCACTTACAAATATTTCTGAGGGAAAAACAAGAAGAAGCTACGGGGATAGTCAAAATAACGTAGAACTGTTCGAGTTCAAGAGTAAATTGAATTTATATGACTGTGCGCCTGCAGCTAGGCGGTACTAGATCGTTTTCATACTGTTTTTTTAATTGAGGCGGAGATCTGAACAATAAGTATAATACTAACGCCACATGTGCGCGTGATAAACATGTCGCGACAAACCCTGGTTCCCATAGCTGATCGCATTATGGTCTGGAATTGACTTGTTATTGTTGTTGCGCTCTCGATTTATTTGCATATAAACGAATTAAGTATATATTTTATCTCTCAAAGAAGTACACGAAAATGGCAGGTAAATGTGATCGCATATTAAGCCATTTGAAATAGCACAAATAAAAGTCATACCATTTTAGCGTTAAAAATAAACGCGCCAAATCCCTTATGCGTGCATATTTTGCATAAAAGAATCGGGAAAACTATCTGTGTTTACATGCATTTGCACAGTTTCGTGATAAACACACACATTTTCTGTAGGCTGGTATATAAAATGTATAAAATAGTAATATTCTCTATATTAACATTCTAGTTTCATGCTCATCGACATTTTATTAAATTCGGCAAGACACAGTTCTCCATTTACTTACCTTAAGCAAGAAGAAAAGAAAATCCGAGAGGAAAAATACCTATTTAAAATACGTGTCTTATCTACATATAAACACAACTCTAGTCTTCTTGTCTTGACATATGGTGTTTTGCAGACCCGGTCCTTTAGTCGCTGTTGATATATGTATATGGATATATGCGTTGTTTACTCCTGTGTTTTCTTCCTTTCTTCCCTTTCAAATTCGCTGTCTTTTTTCGTTCTTTCACCAGACAGAAAAAAAATCCCCACTGAAAATATGGAGCCGTCAATCAAAAAGCCACGGGGAAAGTTACTTTAACAAGACCTAGGGGGAGACAAATAAGGGTGCCACATTATGAACGTATGTCCGCCTTCCTGCTTCAAAACGTCCAGACAAGATGAAATTCCCGTTGTTTCCTTCTAGTTTCCTTTAAAGGGAGCAGCGATATTTTAAATGGTTAATTGTGTCTTTCGTGTAATATAACTAAATGTCTGTCGTCTTCCCCTTCTTGAAGCTGTTGGTAGACGCCCGTTGTTGAAGGGGCTCGAATAAAACGCGCACGCATTCCAAGGTTCTAGTTACAGCTGTGAGGCATATTCCACATTATTATAGTATGTGATTCAGTCATTATTACAGTACACATATTGATGCATAGCTCTGTTGATAGTCTGTGTATACGTGTTATTAAATTTAATGTTGCCTAGACTCAGATATCACCACAGTCGTTTTAAGTGTTACTTAATGTTCATATCCCAACCTTGCGCAATTTACTGGAGCACCCAGAAGTGATAAACATGCCAGTAGAGCAAACGCGACGAACAAAAGCCCTCGTTGATCGTGTCTGCATGGTGGTGGTGCGTATGTTTCATTTTTACGGTGAGAGTACGAAACTTTGCACTGCCAGAGAAAACACCACGTGAGTATCTACAGAGTATAAACACAAGCTTAGGGAGAACATGCAAACAGACCCCAGAAATGTGGAGGTGTCGGGCCATTAAGGCTATACTTACCGTGCCGACATACAGTATCCAGTTTATAAATATAGCCACGGTGAACCACTTCTTATTTGATCTGTAAAAGACAAGGAACCCGTGTTCCCGAAATACTAAATCATAACTGGAGGCCTGTTATTAAAACGGAAACAAGCATCTGTATTGCAGAAGTAAAATGACAATAATGCGTGCGTTCGAAGCGGAAAAAGGCGTTTTTTTTATTAAGGAAAAAGTTGCACGATTGGATATTTCACACAGCATGAAGTTAAGAGGCGCAACGTTATTTTCCCCAGTAAAAACTCACTGTTTACTTGCTATTAACGAAAAATTTGTAATTTGTTGAAGGGGATATGAGGCTACTTAAGTGCATTGTGGTGTTTAACTGCGGCAATAGCATTAAAAACGAAAACCACACGCGACAAATTTAACCGTCGTGTTTAAGGGCCTCAGACTTGTTTGTGCATAATGTAATTGCGTGGGATACTGCCACATGGTGGGGTTTATTCCAAGTAGCGTGATTTGGTACTGACAACCTTAACATAATTTGCTTCTCTTCCGGTGCAAAATAATGTTTGCCATTGATTACAAAATGTGTTTGCATTTGCCGTTTTAAAGTTAACCCTTTCAGGCTCAAATTAAGTTTTAGTAACGACAGGACAACCAAGTCCTGCAGTGGTACTTCTGAGTAAAAAAAAACTCATAAAATATGTATGTGGGGTAATAAGGTAGTTAGTTTTTAACTGTTGCAAATCAGCAACGCCTGCCTTGAGAGGGTTAAATACCTAATGTCCTTTTTTATCAGTAATGTATTTACCTGGCTTTTCTTGTTTGGATCTCATTTTGACTGTTTTTCTAGTTGTGACTAGAAAAGTTACCGTTGGCACATGCACAGGAGTGTACATATACTGGGGTACGTAAACACTACACTCCTTGTACCACAATCCTTTATAAGTACCCGCAAATCACTGTGTACTATGCACCTTATTATTTCACTATTGACTACCAGGGGCACTGTAAGGAGGGGGAAAGTTAGGATGATTCCAAGGGCCCCTGAGTGACAGGGGGCTTAGAAAATTTGGAGCCCAATATGATATGCCTTCATGGGGCCCAAAATCTCTAGCAACACCCCTGTTCCTTGCTGTATATTTGGCTACTTTATTTTATTCTATATAAGTGTGTTTTTTTACTGTTAAGTGTTATTAAAGTATGCAAACTTGAGGGGTCTCTGAGTCCACAAAATGTCATTACAGATAATTATGTTCCATTGTTATCTGTCTATGGCAATAAACTTGAAACTTGACTATTTTCTGAGCAGTTACTATTTTTCCCCATATGTATGTCAGATCTTGGGGTTGCATGGTGCCTTCACACCACCAGGGTTTGGGTTTGAATCTTGCCTCTGCTCTGTGTGTGTGGAGTTTGCCTGTTCTACTTGTCCCCTACTCCAACTTACTCCCGCAATCCAAAAATATGAAGTTACTTATCTCTAAATTATCTATAGTCTGTTTCTGACCTGTGATGTCCATGCTGTACCCTAACCTTGTGCCCCATGCTGCTTGGGATGGACTCCAGGCAGCCCGGTGACCCTGACTTGGAGGGTGTAGAAGATGGATGGATGTCAGATCTGCTGTGTTGTGATAAGTACAGTAATAATGGATTATTTTCGATCATTTCACTCAAACCTTCAGTCCCACTAGTGAAACAGAGATGGAGAGGTTAATGCCCACAATACAGAATGTAAATGATAGTGATTCCCATTTAGTTATACAATAGTGGGTCTGTCCGTTTATTTCGTATCTGGTTAGTCATCCTTTTCCATCAAGCGCTCCAATTTAGATCAGCATGATTTAAGTCTCTCCTTGAGTCTGCCTACAATCTGATTACAGTTTATCTACATTTCATTAAAGTCTGCCAGCCTATTCACACCAAGTCTTTAGGATGTCTAGAGGTTCATCATTCTGAGATTATTCCTATTAGTAGAGATATACGCCACTTCAGCTGATGCTTTCACAACAGAAATTCTTGTCTACAGTTTTTCTCCCAGATTAGTCCCAGACATGTAGTGCTTTTCGTTTTTCTTGTTTCAGTTTGATTTGATGTCTTATTCCTGGTCAATATCATTAAGCAGTTGTTATCAGTAGGGTGACTAGTGCACAGAAACTGCGAAACCTTGCAGTGTCCAGCTAAATAATAATCAGTATAGTTGTGTTGCTGTTCTGTTTGGCTGTGATGCAGAGAGAGATGTAGGTTTTACTTCTACCATCAGATTGCAGTACCTTGCAGTGCTTGTGTGAGATCAATTTAAGGACTACATGTAAAGAGCAACCTATGCATAGAACCGTCGCACCTCGTCTCTTCCCCGCCACTGAGATGCATCAGTCTGCCAAGCGCTACAGTATTTAGAGTATTTAGTAATAATCACATCCTTATGTCCAAATCATACCATACTGGAGTGCAAAAGTTAGTAAAAGTTTCAAAGTGAACAGTTAAATAAAAGGTCAGTTTTGCACTAAAAATCATGTTTTTTCATCAGCTTTATTGTTAAATTTAATTAGAAACTCTGACCAGGCATTCAATTTTCTAGTGGATCACACATTCCTACATGATGCCTTGATTTCGCTCCAGTGTTTTTTGTATTTTATCTTAATTTGCTTACCGTTCTGCTGCCAAAACTTCACTTCAAGATTCATGATTTGTCACATGCATGGTTATAAATGCAGATACATTTCGCAGTGAAATCTTGTTATTCCTTAGACTGTGAGACAAATAACAGTTAAATAAAAACAAGCAATAAATTAAATGGTTAAAAGTGGGGAGGGGTGGAAAAGTGGATAATAAAGATTAAATAAGATTATATATTCACTGTATCCATCATTATATATATTCACATACTACCTAGAATCTGTTAGTGGTAAGACGTGTGTAAGAAACAACCTGTGAGTACCTTGATACTTGATTGCATTTTCATGTGGACACTACAAATGAATAAGTAAGAGTATTACCAATGAATGAGTATGTACAGTACTTGTAATAAGTCTTGCATTGTTAAGTTGTATTTACGTTATGTTTCAAAACCATCAAATATTATTTAACCACAAAATATGTACAATATCCATATCAAATAAAAGTACCTTTTTGATCACAATTTTTTGTTTATTTTGTATTGCATTAAAGTGGTAACACAACATGCTGACAAATGAACATACTGCATCTGCAAGACTGTAATCATAAACGCATATGATAACTAGTAAACTAAAGTATAGTCCTGGGCAAAAAAAATTGGCCCAACCCGAAATCGCATAACATTAAGCTTTTAATGGTCTCAACAGCATTTAAGCCAGAAGAGATTTTGGAAAATTCTGAACACCCTGGTGTGTTAGTTTGAATTTTATATCAAACACTTAAATCACTTCTTGATTTTATCTTTGCATGCAAGAAGGCTATGCACGTGAATTTCCTTGTTTCTAGCAGTTCACTGCCACAACGAGCAATGATAATGTTAATGTTGGCACAGGTCTTGGGGGTATATATATTTTTTTGTTCTTTCTAATAATCTGACCAATGATTTGCTGTTAAGATCATAAAATATTTACCCAAGAGTGTAGAGTGCAGCTTATTCAGGAGCTTCCCCTGCTCTGTACCTGACTGCCCCCCCCCCCTCTGATTCTGATTTAACCCCTGGTTGTACAATGCTTCCAGTATATAATGACTAAAAGGATATTTTCATGTTTTTGATTAAGAAAGCACAGGTCTTTGTACTACAACATGGTGAGATTCATGCAAACATAGCATCTTCGTGAAACTTAAGCATCTGCCCTAAAAAACACAATGTTCTTACTCTTTTATATGTTCTAGTATGAATCCAACTCATCACTGGGGTGTACAAGATGACATCACACAGCACTTCCACCAGTTCTGCTCACAGTTCTGAAAGCTTTACTAACCAGTTGTTTGACAATGCAACTGGCATCTTCTCCTTGTCAAACTCTTGTGTTTATTTCTCTGCGATACAAATACAAATGCCAGAAAAATAGGTAGCTTCCAATGTGTTTAATGAGCAATAGAATCCAAATGGAGTCATATTTCAAAATGGACAAACTGCACCACTGAAAAATGATACAAGGGGATTCTGTGGGATTCAGTGTGGTCAGCCAGGAAATGAAGGGCAGGTCTATGTTTGTCTGGTGGCAAGCACTCATATTGTGAGATATCCACTTTCATCAGTCTTATAAAGTAATATACTATACTGTAGTTTCCCAAACAAAGTTGTCTGTTACCCATAATGGTAACACTTGAAACAGTCTACATAAGGGTGACATGTAACCGTCATAAGAATGACATGACACGTCTGCACATTAATGACGCATCATTGATGTTTATGACTGTTGTCATAATGTGTCATTCGGTGGACATGTGTCATGTCATTCTTATGACGGTTACATGTCACCCTTATGTAGACTGCTTCAAGTAAAGTGTTACCCCCATAACTACCTCTTGTTTTAACTTAAGCATACTTGTATTCTCTTCATGACCAGAGAGGGAGCCCTGATACTCTACCAATGTCTTTTCATATTGTACATGTCTGCTGAATTTAAATAATTATCAACACTTAAGTGACTTACAGAAACACTCGTTAATTGTTTTATTGGGGCTCCACAGTCTGATGCCCAGCTTGTTAGGATTGTCTACCAAGAAAGCGCTCTCTAATTATCCTGCAGACTTCTGTAAATGGATTGAGGTTTCACCATTGTTCTGCTATAAAGAGTGCAATTATTTTGATTGTAATACAAGCCCAGCTTTTAATGTGCTTGTGTATGTATTTATGTTCACCTGGGTGATGAGGAAGAATGTCTATATAGCAACACTCTGCCTATGTGTATGTCTGTTTGCATGTGAACAATCTGTGAAAGACTGTGTAGGTATGTGTTTCTATGTTTGAATTGGGGTGTATATCTAAAAACAACTCTGTCATGCCAGGACTCATGCATATAAAATGAAGGAAGCTGTTTGTTTTCCTGTGGGGGGGGGTGAGGGGGAGTGTTTACACATGATTGGCCACTGAATTGTTCCCTAGGGAGTGACATCACAGTTGTGTTGACCTACTTTTAAAAGCCAGTTGCTGTGATGTCAGTGCAATGAAAGATACATACAATAAAGTTAGCATCCAACAAACACACCTGAAACCATAAAACTTCTAATCATGTTTATAAACAAAAGGAAAATGACCACAAATACTAGGCAGATGCTTTTTTTATATAGAAAAAAGGAAAAGTTGTGGTTTCTTAGATATGTCGTTTTCATTTGTTTCCCTGATGACAGATACGATGATGTACAAACGTTAGTCTGCATAGTCCATCACACGCAGAAATTTCTCTGAAATACCCGGCAGCAATATTTTTACATTTTAGAAACAGATAGAGCCAACAGAGTGAGATTGATGGCCAATGAAAAAGCCAGGAATGAGTGACAAAGCAGAAAGAAGTGTGTGTGTGTGTGTGTGGGGGGGGGGGGGATAAATGTAAGGACAGCAAAAAGAGGGAAAGTGAAACAGAGGATAGATCTAAGGAGGCCGAAGAGGAATACAAAACAGCTTGACTGTGCTCCCCGCCCCTCCCCTTTCCTCTCCGCGTGGAGGGTGTAGCTCACACATGGAGAGGGGGACAGGAAGCAGTGGTTCTCCTGGCACCAGCTCCACTGACACGCTCACACAAAGACTCCCTCTCTCCACCTCCCCCTCCTCCCCCTCCCGGATGGGCTCATTCCCTTTGATTGAGGCTGCAGCAGCACAAAAGTCCCTCTCACCAGCAGACCCCTCCAGCCCACAGCTGCCCTCCTCTGGGATACACTCATAAATCACCCTAAACTTTACAGTGCTCAGCTTCTCTGTTTCTCATTTCCCTGCTCCCTGTTTTATGCAAGCAGATAGATCTTAACTGTTACCTCCCCTTCTGTCAATAACCTGTGAATTTTTTTCCCCTCATATTTTTCCACCCCTTCATTGCCATCTCTGCTTCACATTGATTTTAAGGCAAACTGGCAGAACATTTTCTTGACAAACTCCAAACAGGCTCTGAACTCATGAGATATCTGTATCCTTCTGCCGTCCCCTTTCCATCTAGTCCAGTCAGCCCTCAAAAACTGCTTATCACACCCATGAGAGGGGTCCTCCTATCAGGGCATTCCCACGACACAGAGGCCTCATCTGATATGCACAGGAGGCAGGCGAAGCAAGTAAAACAAACAGATATGGAAAGCTTATTGAAATTTATTGTCACACTTGAAACAAAACAAATTTAAATAAAAAAACAACATGAAGTCGCTGCATTACAGAGAATTTGGATAATTCAAAGTACTTTATAGTTTTCCATATAATTACAGAAATCTTCACTATTCGAAGGAAAAAAACTGCTGTTCAACAGAAATCTGATAACTACCATTTTTCAAAAATGTAAAACAGTTTAACTATACAAATCCTATTTCCCTTAAATACAGTAAACAGACACAAAGCCATTGTCTCTTACTGCCACCTACTGGCCAAAAGAAACAACTGCAACACATCACAGACATTCCGTAAAGTAACCAGCCATCATGCAACACAGGTTTTTTTGTTCAATGAATGTAACTGCCTCTCTCCTCCTTACTCTTTTCCTTCCCTGACCTTTTTACTGCAGTTGTACTGGTTCTGAAATGAGGACATCTGCCTTCACTTCATGCTTTTTAAAGAGTAGGAAGGCTGGTAGCCACTACATTAAAAGCAGGTAGGAGAAGAACAAAACATAACATCTGCTGAAGAAAACGGTGGGAGGTGACTGTAGATGAAAGATGCATGACAGATTTAGTATAGCCAGTAGTTTGCATACAGATTAATGAAGAGTATGGATCAGAAAGGTGTCTGTACAAGGCATGTGGATTGACAGCAAAGTTTGTACAATTTTGTTCTACTCTGTTTCACTCCTGTGTGCTAGGTATCGTGAGATCAGCTGATTTGTTTTTTTTACGGGACCATGTGCATGCAAGCCGTGCGTCTCTTGCTGCATCTACGAGTCATCATCTCCATTGGCGCTATCACCATCATCTTCTCCTTCTTCTTGCTCCCCCTCTTCCTCCTCATCATCATTGTCTTCCTCCCTCCCTCGACTCTTCACCTGAAGGAACAAAATAATTTAGGAGACAGGAGAAGGTACACTGCACTCTTCAGTGTGTGGCCGTTTCTTCATCACCTCTGCCTAGGTGACCGCTGCATAAAAATTCTTGAATACTTTTTATTTTCCCTCCAGAGTTAAATCATTCACCCTCCCTTGCTCAATGTCTTTAAAACCTCCCCCCCAACCACTGCTTACCTCCTCTTCCTCCAACAAGTCTCCCTCCTCTTCAGAGTCGTTAAGTTCCGGTGCCTCTCTCTCCCTCTCCCTTTTCCCGCTCTCGTCTTTCTTGCTGCTGGAGCTGCTGGAGTGCTGAAGTGAGGAAACTTCCCCCGGCTCTGATTTCAAACTTTTCCCTTCTGTCCAGAATAACGGTTCCAGATAGTCACCAATTGAGTAGGACCATAGTGAAGGGCATTACTAAGACAAGGAAGTTAGCCAGGTTCTTGCCTCGAATCTAACTCAAGTGTAAACATTTCTGATAGACATAACAAGGCCTACGTGGCACACTGGAAGAAGCACTGTGCGTTTCCTTCGTATTGTTGTATATATGACATGAATATACAGTTTTGGTGTCTATCTTACCTGACTTCTTGCTGTGGTCCTTTTCCATGCGCTCCAGGCTCTCCAGCAGGTAGTCCACTTTGTGTTTGATCTGTGTTAGTTCTTTCTTTATAGTCTGCAGGTCATCTGCCTTTACTAGGGAAACAGGGAGAAAACCCTTAAAATGTAATATATGATAAAGCCCTATACTACTGCAGTGCACACGCACACACACAAAATTCTGGTCCAGGATTTAAAAAGCAGGAAGCAGTAACTACCTACCAGCTCGTGAAGAGGAGGAGGAGATTCTCTGGCTGCTTTTGGAGGAAGAGGAGAAACTGCTCTTGGTGCGTCGGCCACCTCCACCACTGGCACTCACCCGTGGACGCTTGGATGGAATCGCTGCCCGGGACAGGGGTGGAGGAGGCGGCGGCACCCGGGAGGGGTACGAGTACATCCTGACAGGAAGAAGTAACATTTATAAACAGTCTTGCGAAGACACAGGGAGATTCCACACTCTTTATGCATACCTGTCATAGTAATCCCTCTGAAAGTCATAGTCCAGATCAAAAGTCGAGCTGGAAAGGAAGAGGAAACATATTACACAGTATCACAATTGTTTATTAGATTGTGCATCATTTTTATAGTTTGTTTTTTGCTGTGCATTTTCTCTGTCATTAAAGCCAAATAAATGAATCTGGGGGTAAAAATGAAAAAGTGGCAGAAGCCTGACCTATACATATCACCCGCAGAGCGCTTGATGTTCTTCGATCGGTGAGGCTTGGGTTCACCCGCCAAGTTAATATCTGTGTGAGAAATGGGTGCAGGGTCTCACTTCTACTACTTTCCTGCTGCATACCGACTGCCCAGCCCTCAAAGAAGGTTCCCACTCCAATAGGCAGCTTACCCAACACCTGGCCCACGATCATGCGACCGTCTTCGCCGGCCACCGCAGCGCGTGCATTCCGCTCATTGGAGTACTGCACAAAGGCATAGCCCTTGTGAACGGAGCAGCCCACAATCTTGCCGTACTTGCTAAAGATGGCTTCCACGTCGGCCTTGGTCACCAGCAGTGTGTTCAGGTTCCCGATGAACACTCGTGAGTTCAGTGAGCGCGGGTCAGTTTTGTTGGTCACGTTGCTGGCCATTACGCTGCTACCAGTGGAAAGCCAGCTGTCATGATGGAAGTAGGGGAGAGTAGGAGACAGCGAGTTGAGCAGTTCCATCCTCTTTATGGAACAAGAAAAATTAAATCAATGAACCACGAAACCAAAAGGTGGTATTCTCTCCTTCTGTATCCTTTAAAGGGGCAAAGGCAAGCATGGCAAGAGCAAGTCAGAATAAGCAGCCTGTGGGTTTTCATACAAAAGTCTTTGTTAGCAGAATAACAACATGTTGGTAGAATAGTTTTACACATTTCATTTCTGAAATGGTCCTTCAAAATTCAAGCCAAAATAGTCTTTGTTAGTATACAACACCTGGCTCTTTGCTGATAGAAATTATTCATCTGTAAATGACACACATCTGCAAAAGTCGATGGGTTTCATTTATGACAAATTAACTGACTGCTGGAACAGAGCTGAGACGCACAGAACCCACAGCCTAACTACAGTATGATCCGAGGCCACGCTTCACCTCAGTATGAACCCTTCCTAAGGCAGGCACTTCCCATGGTGCACCACAGGGGAGTTAATGGAGTGTGGTCTGATTTTCCAAAGTTTGACAATGAGATAATGTTACAAGATAAACTTTCATCACTGTTGCAAGGCTCGGTACAGTTAAATCCAGCAGGTAACCCCTCATCTATATATCTGATATATAGATTTTGCTTGTCCCCTTTCTGTCTGATTAAGACTTCATGGAGAGCATTGGAGTTTTTGACAAGCATTTTACTGCCGTCTTCTCAATAGGCACTTCAGGTTAAGGATTCTAAGTATTCCTTTTATGTATTGCAGTGACAGTAGTACAAAAACACTAACATAATAAGTAATTAGGGGTTACCTATTCATTGTCAATGTTCAGTGCCCTTGTGGAGAGGAAGTTATGTCAGCATTTACTTTCTCTCACTGTGAGGTGGTGCCCAGTGTATATCAGCAGGCATCTTTGCAGTCTTGAACTTTCAGTTAAGTTAGCCTCCCAGTAGCCTTCAATTTACAGGATGTAGTGAGCCTAGCCATTGATGGATTAGCAGACACATCATTAAAGACACCTCACTAAACACAACCCCACCTCCAAACATCCCTACATCTGTTGTCAGCATGCTAACGGAAATAACCAGCAAAATAATAACATGTTGGTAGGACAGTTGTAGACATTTCATTTCTGAAATGTGAATGGTTCTTCAAAATTCAAGGCATCCATACCTAAAGACGAAATCCATTTTAACAGTGAAACAAGTATATACAAGTCATACATAATCTAGAAAACACCACGTGGTTCCTTAATACAGACCAACTAAACCATGCATTGTTTCACTATATGCAACAAAAATGCGGATATTCACCAGGACAGGAAATCAGAAATTATTCTGACATGTCCTGGGTTCAGCTTCACACTATACTTTAGTTTCTATTTAATGTCTTAGGTAAGTAATCCAAAGCCATTATACACCTTTTAGCTTTTGGTTTGAGCTCAGTAACCAACCTTAATTAATGCAACTACTTAATTAAAATGTTTTTAAGCTTTCTGGTGTAAGTTTGAATATCAGTATTGGGCTTGCATCATCATAGCTGATTAAGTTTTCTTAAAGTATTCCAATGGCAATCATAACATGAAAAGGCCCCAAGGATGTTGTATCTTTGGAATTCCATAGTGTGTAGAAGAAATCACCTAAAATCATAACATTCCTACAGTTTGACTGGGGCAGAGTAAATGTAGTGATACATGGACTACAAGAAAGCCCATCTGATGAATGATATTACAGATTTAAAGAATGTTTTCTCAGCTAGTAAGATGATGTGCTTGGACACTAAAATAACTGGGCTGCATTTCAGGTTCTGGGTTTAATTGGTATACTGGTGTTTGATTCTACAATTAGCTTTAAACAGGTTCAAATCCACTCCTCATTGAAACATTTATTTTCTCGCTCTTCCACTGTTGTCTGATGGAGTCCTAAGAAAGGAAATAAAACAAGTCTGTCAACGTGAACGACAATTCTTTTGAACATTTCCCCTCAAAAAAAAAAAAAACATTACAAACCAAAAAGATGCGTTTATTTGTATATTATACATACACACACTCACAAACCCCAGTTCTGTGTTGCACACACGCAACCAACTCAGTAGTTTGTTAGTATACATTTATCGGGTCAGAAATAATATGCATCAAAATAACCAAAGGAAAGAAAACTTTATTTATAACCTAAGAGGTAGGTAGTTTGCTTTACAAACTGCCAACACAATTTTAACCATAAAACATGGTACGATGCATTCAACTGCTTCAATTCAATCACTTAGTACACTATGGTAAACTTCACAAAACAAATGACTGGTGAACAAATAAAATCTTTAGACAATCATAAACTATAAAGAGAGAAAACAGCAGCAATCTTGATAAATGTGACTAGTTTCCCATCACTCCTTAGTGATTTACGACTAAACTCCCCAGAAGTGAACCAATATTATAGGAAATGTTTGAAGCAGATTCATTCTAGTTATGTGCTCATCAGTTTTTGTCATTTTACAATTTGGCTTGCCACCTACTACTTTAGAAACGAAATTTCTAACTATAAACTTATATTTGCCAAAAGTACACTTCAGAAAGTGTTTATCTTCCAGTAGTTTTCTTTCTTTTTTTGCAACAGCAAATGGTTGTCTAGTCAGTACATCATCCTCCACTGGGTGAGGGGAGAAATTTCTTTTTTTAAAAAAAAAAGGAGAGAAAAAGAAGAAAAAACGGAAGAAAAAAAAAAAACACTGAAAGACCATTTGGTATTCATGAAGGCCCTACAGCTTATCCAAAGTACAAAGCAAAATTATAGTTGACTCGAACAAAGTAAAAGTAGAATCAAAGAAAATTAAAAGGGAAGGGGGAAACCTTTATGTTGGAAAAAACATTCTGCAGATTAAAAATACAGGTATGTACTAGCAGGTGGCATGAAAGTGGAGGGGAAAAATGTTTGAGAAGTAACTTACGGGTCGCCGTTGTTCAAAAAAGCTGCAGCAAAAACTGAAAAATAAAAATAAAGGGGGAAAGTTTAATTAGGAATAATGACAAAGTGACAACGAATTCTCACTGAGGGGCGAGAAGGGTTTCAAAACTCTAGTATGAAATTAAAAACTCGAAGTATGAAACTGGTTTGCCTTTTATTTGAAATAGTACTGTATCTGGCCATTCATGCCAAATGTGAGTGCCAGCAGGCAAAGCAGATGTGTTGTCAAAAAACAGAACAGCATCATGGCAGTTTCACCAAGTATACAAAACATTAGGGACACTTCCTTATATTGTTTTGCACCCCTTTTGCTTTGGATCAAATTCATTGAGGAATGGACTCGAGCATAAAGAGTATTCTACAGGGATGCTGAACCACACCAACTCTATTGTTTGCATTAAGTTGGTTGGTAGCGGAATTACACTCCAAATAGCTTGGTCCGTCTTATTCTACAGACTTCAGACCTGTATTAAGATGATTTCAGTGTCCATAAAAACATACCATACCAATCTTAACCATTGGACACAGGCACTCTCCTACTTAAAAAAACAAAAAAGATCTGCCATGCAGGGATGCTCCTGATTGGAAATGGTGTTCAGATATCCTGTTGTATTCAGACACTGTCCCACTTTTATCAAGAGGTCAATGCATGACATGAAATACTCCTCACATTAACAAAACAACAACACCAGCATGCTATGATGACACATTGCACGAGGGATAATTGGGTTTTTTTCCTCTCTATTCTAGTCCCCAGCCCCCATCAGCATACAATAAAAAAATAGACCAAGAAATGCTTTTCTTCAGTACTTGAGTGTTCAAAGTTTTTCCTTCCCTTCTCAACTTTAACAGCAGTTTATTTTTTGCATAAAGAATAACTCCATCCTCTCAAGATGTAATGAGAGACATTCTTTTATCTTACCCCATCAATATGATGGGACTGCCACATTGCCTACAGTAAGTCAGTCTTCATCCACACGATTTGCCTACCTTAAACTTTTCCCTGACTTAAAATCTTTTGGGTATCAGATGATTTCCAATACACCTTACAGTTCTTGAGCTCAAATCAGCACATCAGGTGCCTACTATTAGGCATCAATCAAATCATTAATATTTCTTGCACAATTAATCTATATACATAATCCAGACGATCTCAATTCTCTCAAGAGCTGCTGTAATCCTTCTTTAATCTGTCGCCTGCAATTGATGTACACTACCTTAAGTTATTAAAACAAAAAAAAGGAATTTTAGCCTGGATTCCTCCAGTCAATCTATTAAGGGAATACCAGGCGTCCCTAATGTTTCATACACTCAGCGTATTTTAAATCACGCGCTCTCGTATGAATTGATACGCACCAGCAGCTAACGAATAGAAATCATTCAGGAGAAAGAAATGTGACAACTACAGCCGTACAAGCGAAAAAATTAACGCATTTCCACACCACACATGAACTTCTTTACAACTTTTTAATTAAATGTTTTCAGGAATTAGTCTTGTGTTGCTACACAGAAAGTCCATTTCAAGTCTCATAATCCACAACCCGGTCATGCGCAGAAAAATATTACAGACAGAAGTTTGTTCAGAATCCCTTTAAAACCAGCCTTGACAAGAAAAATAAAAATAACAGTCTTACGTCTGAATAGCTGATGAATTTAGAATAAAACCAAAAAATTAAAACAAAATTCAGAATTAAAAATGTATTTAAATCATCCAATTACAAGCCATAAGCAGCCTTGCCGAAAACAGTAAATCAACTAGCTAAATGATTGGGGGGAAAAATAAAGCCGGAAAATAAAAAAGTAGGAAATCCAAATATGAAGAAAAAAAAATGGCGTTTTCTCTTTTTTTTAGTAAAAGAAAAAAAACAAAACCGTCTTCGGGATTTTCTTTTAAAAATATCCTCCTAAGCACACTGCACTAAAGGACCTCTTGAAAAAATTTTCATTTATTAAAAAAGAAGTTTACGACAGAAAAAAATTAAAACAATAAGGACAATTATGAAAAGCGAGCTAGTGACATTTAGCTAATTAACCTCACGCGACCACGTAACCATTCAGCTAGCCTGTTAGCTCGTCAGCTAGTCCTGCTTCACAAAATGTACACCACATTCGCAATCACAGATACAGAAAGCCTGTCACAAAAAATACATTAAAAATAAAAATAAAAATCCCAAAGATAGCTCAAAGTAGGAAAAAATGAAAAAAAAACCTCTTGAATCAAAATACTCACCAGGAGCTTACGTTTAAAAATTAGCTACTAAAATTCGACGAGCTTTGCGCTTTCAGGTCTCTTTCCGACACACACGACACTGAGGCGACTGCGACTGTAAAATGGCGCCGGCTCGATATCCGTAAAATTATTGCCACGCCTATGTGAAGACCCGCCTCTAAATCACAATCTCTTATTGGATACTCACGTCACGCAGTTCCGCGGTCTTTTTCTTTATGTGGCCAACATAAGTGTCCCTCAAATCCTGTGCTAAGCGTCACGAAATGTGCAATTACTTCAACTCCAGCTATCTTTTTGGCGGCTTGGTGAAAGTGGACAGTAAATGTTATGGCTGATAATGGGCTAATACGGGAGACTGCTTTAGTTTTAGAATTAAGTAGTTAAGCAGTTTACTTGATAGTTGGTCATGTCCTTAAAGTTGGCAGGCACATTAAGAGTTTGTAGTTTTTTTGAGAATGTAATTGAGTGACCCCAAGTAAACATAGGTGAAACCATAAAAGTTAAAATCCTAAATTTCTTTTGGAATTAATATGAATTAATAAAGTATCTATCTATCTATCTATCTATCTATCTATCTATCTATCTATCTATCTATCTATCTATCTGTCTGTCTGTCTGTCTGTCTGTCTATCTGTCAGTCTTATGAAACAATAACAACAATAATAGTTTTGTTAATGATGAACCCCACAAAAAGAGCAAAGTTGATTTAGCTTTGATTCTTTATTATTCTATTCCGTCTTGATAGTTTTTAGTAGGTTAGTTTATTATTTACTTGCTCAGAAGAGTATGTTAAACAATAACTGCTGCTATTCAGTTTGCTGGTTTCCTGAAATACCTCGGAGCCACTACAAGCCTGCTTAATTGTAATTGGTATCCCCAGTGATGTAGACTTATAGCCATCTGCAGCAATAGTAAAATCCCATCCTTATATTAACATTATTTTTAACTGAAACTTTTATTAGAAAAAAAATCTGACTTTTAAAAGGAATATACTTAATGTGAAATTTTTGTTTATTTTTAGTGTGGATCTTTGGTGAATAATCTGTTATGTTATTTGAAGTATGTATGGCATCAGCTTTTATGGAAGCATCTGTTAAATGTATGCATGTGTTTATGTAAATGGGTACAGTGTTGAGTGGGTAACTGTCTCACTATTGTACAGAATTTACTGAACAAACAACAGTTAACCCAAATTTTAAATGTAGACTACTCAGATTTTCAAATGTTGTGCTTAAGTAATGCCTGGTGGTTTGGGAAGTAAGGGAGAGTTATTAAGGTAAGACAGGACAGAAATATAACTCAGAATGTTGCATTTGTACATTCTGTTTGAGTTTCATGTATTGTCCAGTCTTTCTCGTTCAAGTCTGAAACATCACCCTGGGCAGGTCACCAAACTGGAAATTCACTAGCAAAATATCCAACTTTATTAAACTTTGAGGAACTTTGGATAAAAAGCATCTGTTACGCAACTAAATGTGATGTAAATATACAGTACTACTAGAACTGTGTTGAGTACATCCGCTGCTGTAATATTTAATGAACAAAGTTAAGGGGAGCATGCCTACTCAAGTCTTCAGGAAGCATAGCATAGGTGTTGTACAGCATGTGACTTTTGCTTGGCCCATGTGGAGGTAGAGTTCTCAGGCCATGGTAACGGGCCTGCTAGCCAGCGACATTGGATGCTATTAAAGAATGCTCAGCTTCTGGTCGGCCGATGTATCATGTGATCCACAATTAGGTAGGTTTGGGGAGTGAAGAGAAGGAGACACATCACTCATTGTCACTTCAGCTTGCTAGAAGCTTGGCCTAGAAAGCATACACACATTGTTTACAACAAGGGTGGCCAATCATGCCTGCAAAGGTTCAGTGTGTATGCAGGTTTTTGGCATAACCTTTAGGTCAGTTGTTCAAACCCAGGTGTGAGAACCCTTCAGCCAATCAGTCCTCTAATTAGTGATCTAATTAGGGAGTTGCAGTGAAAACCCGCATACACAACGGTCCTTTCTGGATAAGATTTCCCACCTCTGGGAGGTGTTCCTCGCAGCAGGATTTCTTGTTTAGCTGGATAATTTGTCAAATTTAAGGTAGTCTGTGGTAAATGTAAGTGAATGAAGATGAAGTCCATTTAGCCCAGATTACTTTTAATCCAAGAAGTTATCCAGCTAAGCAAGAAATCCTGCTTCATGGAACACCTCCCAGGTCTACAATAACCAGACAGTAGCATTTTAAACAACACACATTTGCCTACATTTACATTGCATAAATGCATAGCTCTTTATATTTACACAAAAGAACTTTTTATTTTTGCCTATTCAATAAGCTATATGTTTTAGTGGAGCATTTAATACCTTGTTGAAATAGTACAAGACATCATATAGAAATACAACATAGTATAGGGTAAAGTTAATATCATTAATCATGATACTACCTGCTTCGCTGGAAGAAACTTTATTGAGCAGCAGTACTGTACACATACCTTTCTTTCTGCGGGAGCGGGGAAGGCTAGGGTCTCGGTGTAGGGTAGACTCAGGTGTTCTCAGGACCTCCTGAAGTCTGCAGTGCTCTAGACACTCCTGGGAGGGGAGGGAGAAGTGGAAATTAAGTCTGGTGGGGTCAAGGCAGGAGCAAGAAATAGGCCACCAGAGAATGTTTCCCCCCAAAGCCGCTTCCACAAACATGGCAGCCCCCCCCCCCCCCCCAGTGATTTTCTCATTCCCAACTTCTATAGTTAATTTTACTCCATCCCTTTGTCAACTTTACTTTCTTCCTCAGTTTCTCTTTCTTGCATTTATCCATTCCCATATTTCTTTTTCTTATGTCTTCCTCGCTCCTTCCAACCAATGGTTACCTGTGGCTGGGTACACTGTGGAGTAGAAGCAGTCGTTTCTCCCTCTCTTTCATTTTCTCTTTCCTTTTCTCTGACAATGGTCTGGTGGGACGTCCGGTACTCCAGGGCAAAGTTGCTGACAGTTTTACAGAAGACCTCAGGGCTAGTCTCCTTCACGATACAGCGTGGATATCCCAGAAACAGCAAGAAGGAGTGGAACCTGCAAGAAAAGGGCAGAAGAAGAACTTCATATCATTGTTGTCTTTTTAAAATCAAAATCATAGTGATTACAATCTTTATCACCACGGAGAGCAGTTCACAATGAGACAATGGCTGAATCCAAAATACCACCCTACACACCATGTCACCAGTCTTTTAGTATAATTCCTTAGTTCGTGTGTACAAAACTTCATACACTTTATGGATGCACTGCATTACCTTTGAACTGCTGGACTTTGACCTTTAATGATAGATGTCCTGCATAACAACAAATACCGATTTCACAAACCGTTTACCAAACTTACTAAAATGCCTTCTATTTACAGCATTGCATCTTTCAGTGCTGTTGATACTGCAAAGTAATGTTATCGTGTGTCCTGACAGCTCTTCACATCAACAATTTATAATAGAAAAAACCAGCATAATTCAACGCTTATCATGCTTTTTAAATTATCACGTGAGTTCAAATATTAAGAATTATACTCACATTAGAAACACCATTACCATCAATCAACATTTTCATAAGTTAACTCCTAACTTCCTCAGAAGTCACGCCTAGAATTATGGGATTGAAACACTGTACAGTGTTTGCACACTTTTGATCTTAACTTTTTGTGTCCTTAACTAATGCACATGATGGTTTTGGACACACTATTATGTCTCGTGTACTCTTTTGGTGCCCTATTTAGTATGGAAATGTGTGATTTCAGATATAGGCAATATATAAACAGTAAATTGAGGCCAGCTGAATATTAGAATTAATACTGATAGTACTAAAGTCACAGTGCTGTAATAGTGTTCTCAGTATGGAAGGGAAGTAGATTTTATTACCTATTGATGACCCTTCGATGGACAGCTTTCAACACGTTCAGTCTCTCCTCACATTCCTTCAGAATCCTAGGGAGGCGCTTTCTGAGGGTACCCTCTGCATTTTCTCCCCAAAGTTCCTTCCCTTTATCCCGCTCTAGCATGTGCAGCTGTTCCCATGATGCCTTGCAGCAAGACTGCAGCTGTGTGAGGTTAGACTGCACCTGACTGTAGTCACACTAAAAGGAAAGAGAAAGTATACGCATGTGAGAAAGATACAGAGGGAGAAGGAAGGACATAAAGAGAGTTAGCTTATATTCACATTTTTTTAAACAGTGGAAACTGAAGTATCAAAACCTAAACCTATGGGAAATGTATCTTAGAGGTGTATAAGGTAACACACATTAAAGCTAGTTCTTCAAACTCGATAAGCCTGTGTTAGATCTAAGGTTTTTTAATTAATATACTGGATATATCAGTGATTTTTCTTAACTCAAGGCTTTTTGGAATAGAAATACAAATGCAAGTGGAAGAAAGGAGATTAATTTTGGCCAAGATGAGGGTGCCATGCATGAGAGAGAGTGACTATATATACCTACCTTACTGACACGCATCACAGCCGTGATGTCAGAATACAGGTCGGAGGACCGTGGGTAAAGCTGCAGCAGCAAGACGCAAACGTGGTGCAAAAGTGGTTGGCGGCTGTGCGTGTCTCTCACCTGAGACAGCTTACCCAGGTAACTCAGCTCAAACCCACTGGCCTAGTGGGAAGTGCAAAGCAAGCAAAAGACAATTTTGTTAATGCAGCTTTAGGGTGCCTGCTCTTAATAAGTTGAGATGTCTTGAAAATAACAGAATTACAGAAATACAATAATTACTTTAAATCCAAGACATCTAAGTCTATTATTTTCTTTTTATGAATGACAACTAATTACACCATATTTATGTTAAGAACACAGCACAAGACATGGCTGGTCCATTATGCGAGAAGTTATAAGTGTTATAAGCTGTCCATTTCAGATGCATATGCATCTTTGGCAGACCTGTAGGACTTAGACACTGAGATCTGTATTAGGCTGACTATAATACTTTGGTGACACCTGCTGAGACACATTACTCAGAATCACATCAACACAGGGAGCAGCAAGCTAGGCGAATTCCACAGAGTCACCTTGCACCCATTGAGAAAGTTGCCAATCGCTAACACGGTTGCCAGGATACAGCGGAACGTGTGACTGGCCGTTAGCTGCTCCATAGCTAACTTCAGATAGAAGAGAGGCTCAGCAATTTCCTGGGCAGAAAAAAAAAACATTGGGGGAAAAATAACCAGTATTGTACAGTGAAAAAATGCAAAACAGTCTGCCTAAACATCACTGAGTAATATGAACACAGCTAAGATATGCGGCTCTCACTCTCTCCAAACTGTCATAATCCAAAGCGAAAGCCCAAAGTTGAAGTCTCTGACTCAGATGGGGAATTCTACCCAATGTGAGGAGACAGTCCTCTGCTGGTCCCAAAACAGAGTCTGGGAATTGGGCCTTGGCATCTCTAATCGAGCACAACTCTTCTTCTGATGGGATCAGAGTCTGCAGTTTCTAAACAGATTGAAAAAGAAAACACCCAGTACAGTAAGTACTGAACAGCAAGTAATTTAGATATAATCCAAATGGTATTCATTAGGTTAATTTTACTTACTAATATTAAGTATCTTAGTCAGATTGTACGTCTGCAGTGATGACAATTGGTGCTACTATCAATCACAAGTACTAAAGACCTTCTCTTCTTAATACAGCTTGAAACACACCTGCAGGTCCTCTCTGTCTAGCACACAGCAGTCCATACTCATTATGGCAGGGGGCAGCAAGCGAGGGGGTGCGAGACTGCTGAGGGCAATGGTGATGATGTTACTACGCTTCACTCCTAGCACCGTGATGCACTTCTGCTTCTAGGGGAAGTAGAGAAGAACGCAGGAAGCAGTGTAAATACAATACATACTCGCTACATCAAGAATGCTGAGTAGACAGGCAGACACAAACTGACTTACTAACCTGCTGTTTTCTCACCCTACATCCAGTGCTGCTGTTTATTTTGCTTTCAAACAGGTACTCCAGTTTGTTGGTATCCAAGTGGACTGGTTCTAACCCTGCCCAGATGGTCTGAGTGCCAAAGCGACTGACCTTGGGAAGCACAGGCAGAGACTGGAGAGCCCTCCAGTGGAGTCTTAGAGTTCGTTCTTTACCAGGGCTTGGGCAATTAAACAGCATTGATGGGGGCAAAGGAGGAGCAAGCGGTGGTGGGGCAGGAATAGATTTCCTAACGTCTGCATTGATTTGACAGGTATGTGTCCCTGCAAGTCCTCCATCTCCCTCAGGAATATCTAGTCTTAGGTCCTCTTCATCCCATAGATCAGAAAAGTCAAACGTGTTGAGTCGGAGATGGGAGACGGGGTTTTTACATGTGTCCCAAGATTGGTCAAAGCTTGGGAGGAGGGGACGCTTCTGGTTGGAGGGGGCCTTTATCATTTCTTTTACAGATCCTTAACTCTTTTTTTAAAAAATGTTTATTCTTTTGTCCACAGTCTTTGTCTAATTTGCCGGTTGTTGACAATTACAATGTAATGGAAAAGTTAATCCTGTTTTAATTACCTTTAATAACACTCAATACAGTATTTTCTTTCCATAACAAAGAACGGTTTTGCTTGGCTTTGTTCTGCCTTATCTGATAGTTTACTTGCAGTCCCTTGTCTTTTACTGATGCTCAAATAAAAGAAACACATTGGCGGATGTCAGCTCCCACCTGTATTGCTTTGGGTCCCACGGAGTTGGGTTCCTCCTGGGTCGGATTGTTGTGTAGATAGTGGCAAGCTGAAACAGAGAAGGCCCCTCGATGCCAGCACACCTCTGCCAATATATTACAGCCCCTCACATACACCTCTTCTCCAGGCGTGCCCTTAGCACATTAAATAGCTCTAGCAGAGGCTGGTTTTACAGGATCCTGGTCACTGCCTTGCCGTGGTCATAAAGGTCCTCCAAATGAGCTGGGTCTTTCTGAGCTCAAATGCATTTGCCTGTACTGCCAATACGTCACATCTGCAACTGCAACTGCAGACTATCTGAGTCTAGGTGGATTAATCACTGCTATTTAAGCTGCACCCATTTCCTTAATTTCCTTATCACTTCCTCATCTCCTGTTTATACTATAGCCTGGGTATACACAACTGTCTATCTCCTTTGCTCAATCCCTCCCACCCGTGCCACCCCCCATCATCTATTCATAATGCCGCAGTTCTCTGCCTAAGGTTCTCTGTTATGTATGTACTTTTTATTTTTCTTACATATCCTCTTCTAAATTTCCTTATCTTTTAAAATGTGGTGAAATGCAAAGTGGTTTTAAAGACTAAAATAGGTGAAGAGGAGCAATATTTAGTATTCTGTACTGCTACCATCCCCATTGAATGTAAATAAATATAGAAGTGTTCTTGACTGTTTGCACTTTCATTGGTGATACAGGGCAGACATTTTCCATTTATTGAGGTGAGGTCATCATTAATAGCCACCACTACTAGTCTGGTGGCAGTTTTATATTTTTCTCCAAATATATAGACTTATGTTAAATGCCTTAAGATGTTAAATGCCTTAATATATGAAGACCTCAAGACAACCACCTAATTTAGGAGAGACTACTTATGTACTCCTTGGCTCTATAACTCTTTAGTTATAATGTACAGAGCACAGAATTGCTGAGTAGCCCCTTTTGGTTTGATAAATCATTCAGACAGTCGCACAGACAGTGTTTCTCTCTTACTGCAAACTCCTTAGACCATAGATATCAAACAGTTTAATCTAGACAAAATGACATATAATTAACCCTAATTAGCTGGAGATTTCCAACTTCTCCCCACCTATCTTAATGACTCCCTGAGAGAGCAACTAGAAAGTCACAGCAGAGACAATTTTAACGGTCATAACGAGACTTCAGTGGTTCCTGAACGATTCTTTAATTTTGAACAAATCATTTTAGTGAAAAAAATTATCTTTGTCACTGCAACGATTCATTCATTTCATTCACCGTTCAGCTTGTTCAGTAAACTAGATCATGAAGCTCACGAGTGCCATGTCGAATGCAGTCTTCCCTATGTGTAATGCTGCTAGTTATCTATGGCAGTGCGTGGTTAATAAATCTGGAACTTTCATTCCGCAGACCAGAAGGAGACCCCACCAGCTGAGCATTATGTCCTCCTGGGGAGACCCAATGATGTGCTGATGTGCTGCGCTGCCAGTGCCAGGCAGCAGAGGGCGCTGCGGATCCGCTCAACTACAGCGGACAGAAGTCCCTAGAACCCTATCTCGTACAAGTGAATCTCACAGCTTGGTACAACGGCTGATCCTCCACGGAGATGGCAGTCCACCTGGCGCTGGCACCGCGAGGGGAAATGGTCCAGGTCCTACCCAGCATCTCCTCAGACGAGCAGCGAGATCACTCTCCTCTGGCTGCAGCGCGGGAGCAGTGTCACTACCTGCAGCCGTCAGCGGAGACTATGAGCGAGAAGCTGGCCAGTTGGCAGAAACAGGAGAGCGAGACCGCGGAGCATCCACATTACCCACGTGTTCCTCATGCCTTCGTCAAGGCATTAACACCAGAACAATTTTGCCAGTGCATCCAGCTACAAGCACCATGCTGGCAGGTTCCTTGGCAGAGGCAGAAAAGGTTGAAGCATTCCAGCCCCACCAGACCTCCTCCCGTGAAGCCGCACCTGTGACTCTGGAAGCCCGGGTGGGAAAAAGTGAAACTATACTGTTATGGAGCCCTCATCCACCAACAAACTTCCACCCACATGTCGTCAAGTGGACCAGCTGGGTCAAGAGCGAGGCCTTTACATGGACTGCATCATGGAGGGCACCTGATGCTGAGCCCTCATGGACACAGAGTCCAGCATCATCTACCAGGATGTCCTCCCAGGCACCTACCAGCCAGCCCCACTAGGGTGGGAAGTGACAGAGATTTGACTTTCATCCATCATTGGCTTGTGCATGCCAATGAAGGGGAGGAGGCAGCTCAGCATCAAGCAGGCAGGGTGGACCATGGTCTAGGTGTGGCTGGCCAACATCTGGGATGCCTGCATCATGGGGCTGGACTTGCTGTGCCAGGGCACACATTGATATTTCTGCTAACCACACTCCATCTCAGAGGAGATGCAGACTGGCAGTAGGTGCAACAGACACAAATATGGCAACAAAAGGGTCCACCTCTCCCCCAAGTGTTGCCCCCAATATACAGTTAACCCCCCTTCCCCCTGACACACTGGGCGACAACGCTATGGCAAAAATATCCCAGGAGATGGTGCAGGCAGTGCAAAAGCTGTGGCAGTGGAGCAGAGTGGACCTGACAGCAGAGAAGTAATGCCAGTTGAGGACCCTGCAAGATGGATATTTGGACATCTTTGCAGCCCGTGACGACAAGTGCAGATCAAGAGCACTCATCCCACATGAGATCAACACTGGAGATGCCTAACCCATTCATCTATAACCTATTTGGGTGGCAAGCACCAAGCATGAGGCAGTCGAATGGAAGATCCAAGAAATGGTGGCAGTGGGTATTATGGAGTCATTGGACAGTCCTTGGGCCGTGCCGGAAGTCCTGGTCAAGAAACCCAGTCACACGGAATGACATTGCTGGATCAACGTGGTTTAGCACCAAAGTGGCTATTAGCACTGGCCCCAGATGCCTGACCCAAGACCACGTTCACCATTGGTCACAGTCTATGGCACTTCCAAGCCATGCCCTTCAGGCTTTGCAATGCCCCTGCCACATCTGAGAGGTTGATGGAGAGAGTGCTAGCTAATGTCCCACAGAGTCAGTGCATCATCTACTCTGATCTGCTTAGCCATGCTGCTAAGTTTGATTGGGCACTTAACAACTTTTGCACGGTCTTTGCTGCCATTATGCAAAGCTGGTCTGTGCCTCAGTCCCGGGAAGTGCTCCCTTGAAGCCTGTCACCACTTCTATCCATATTTCTGCGGACAGCACTTCCAGCTACTCACCTACTACGCGTCTCTCACCTGGCTGCTAAGCTTCCACAACCCCAAGGGACAACTGGCACCCTGACTGGAGCCCCCCCCCAGGGGTATGACTTTGAGATCCAGCACCAGCCGGCAGGCTCCATGTCAATGCCGGCACCTCTCTCACTGCCCCTGAAAGACCGGTGATTTGTGTCATTGCCACCACGCTGAGGAGCATAGTCAGTGGTACATTGCAGAGGTGTTGGTGCAGGACACGAGCGGCAAGGGATTAGAGAACATCGATCACCAGCGGCTGTGAATGGAGCAGGCGAGTGACCTAGTGCTGACTTGAGCGAAGGGTTAGCTACAGACCGGGTAGCAGCTGGAGTGGATAGAGGGCTCTGCACTTCCTCAAGAGACTAAGGACCTCAACTTGCAGTTGGGGAGGGGCTTGAGCAGACTTATCAGGTGGAGGCGCTGATGAAAAGGGTCAGGGTGAATGTGCTGGGCCCTTTTTCCTGTAGTAACACCGGGAATCGTTACATACTCAAGGCCATGGACTATTTTACTAAGTGGCCTGAGGTATATGAGGTTCCTGACCGGAGTGCAGCAGCCACAGCTGAGAAGCTCATTGAAGAGATCTTCTACTGCTTCATGTGCTGGAGAAACTGCACAGCAACCAGGAACGAAACTAGGAGCATGCATGAACTGGCCCAGCAGCACCAAGGTCCAGCAACTGCCCAACAGAAATGTGCCTATAATGCACGCAGCCCAGGCCAAGACGTTAACATTGGGGGCACCATTTGGGTGTTTTCTATTTGTAAGAAGAGACAGTCACTCAAGCTGGATAGTCATCTAAGGGACTAAGGGAGATCCTCGAGTGCCTCTCCAATGAGTCTACCACCTGCGGTTGATTGACTGACAAAAGGCTGTGGTCCTGCACAGGGCTTACCTGGCAGTGTATTGCCCCCCTGGCCTGACCTAATCCCCCCCTGCAGCAGCTGAGGATGCTCCAGGAAGGGAAGGTATGCCGGGGACACTGGTGACTGTGACATGTTGGCCACAGCAGCAACGCTGGGTTCCGCAGTATCTGCCAGACATTGTGTTGTACTTGGGGGTCACCAGGGGTGGCTGACCCATCAGGTGGGGGCAAGTTGTAAATAATAAGTGTAACACCCTTGTAATGTTTACCATGGCGTGTGCGTGTTTTCCCTATATGTACCGTTGCTAGTCATTGGAGTACTTTCATTTCTTTTACAAAGAGCTGCCTCATCGCTACTAATAAAAACCATGACACACACAGATTCTGTTACAGTATATTTATTGATATACAAAAAACACATTAACCTGAAATACTTCACTGATCTGAGGGGAAATTCATTTTCGTACAGAAGTGCATAAAGCGCACAGGTCCAACACAGAAAACTACAAACAATATTATGAGGATAAACAAACAAATATTTATATATGCCCCAACAAAGGCATCCTGTTTGCAATTTACATAGTAAAAATTCAGCGCTACTTTAAAAATGAAATGCTCACCTGGGGGAGACGTCTGGCACCAAGGGCGGATTAAACAACCGCATGCCTTAATTTATGTGGAGACTCCAGGCTGACATCACCCAACAGTCCCGTGCTTTTCCGAGGCCGGGCCCTGATATTTGCCGGATTTCTTATGAATTTATACACCTCTGGCTGTCACGTCGGACGGACGTATTTATTACACATAAAATGGAGTACCCCTGAAAAATAATAAAAGGGGACCCCCTGTAGTGACAAGTATATTCAAAGCGGACGTTTCGGAAGTAAGTGACCCAGTACAAAATAGCTAGACAGCAGAATAGAAGTAGAATACAAATCACATACCAACCCCTCTTTAGAAAAGAAATACAAGCGTTAACGAAATCATAAAAACTCCACCAAACAAGTATTACTGTGCGAAAAACGCAACCTGCGTTCCCTATTCAAGCATTCATTCAAAGCAGGTTTGTTTGAGGAAAGTCATATCGCTCTCCTTGACTGGGATTGGCCATTGCTCATTCTCGATTTATCAAATCACAACCCTGGATTTAAAACGAGGCGTGGTTTATGGATTCTGAACTCCCACCTTTAGTACGGCACTTCTAACCGCGATTGGTTGAACTGGCTCTCTTGCTGCCCACCTTCGCATTGATAAGTGGCCCCTACACCGTCAATCTCATCCCTCCCACACTGCTTGCTGAACTTGTTTTGGAATGTATTTATGGCAGGCGCGCTCCCGATGCCTGCGCCGTAAAACGAGTCGGATTGGCACTGTTAACGTAGATAGCGGATTACAATGTCAATTATTTTGGGAACACTGCAAGCTTCCATTTTAACAGTCCGTGAGGGATATGCCTTTTACATTTTATTAAACTTGTTCCAGTTATAACAATATTTGACATTCAGTACAGCGATGTTTTGTAAGGACAATATCCTGAAGGACTTCTAGAGTCAAATTATAAATAATATCATATGGAGTTTTAGCGCAACGTTAAGTTCCGTGGAGCCATAGCGCGAAGAAGGCGTCATGTAGGAGCGCGCTTGTAAGACAGTTCCTTTCATTTTTATATTTTATTTTATCATTTGGAGGGGTTATGCTTATAGGTGCTGGAAGTAATAACGTTAAATTATTATATAATGATGACTTGATATTTTATAGACTGTAAATTCGAAGGTAATATGTATTTTGTTACATTTATATACCGTATATGTATATATAACGGTGTGTTTGTATATATATATACGGTATGTACGTGCGCCATGATCGAAAACTACCTCAGGCTGCCATTAAAATGAAAAAGTTGTCGCGCACCAACATCTGAGCTTGAGGATTACGTAATTAAAGTGCTCGATTTGAAAGCAAGAGATGAAACTGCAACAATATGTAAATACCTGGAAACAGTATTCATATCAATTTCCATGAGCTCCAAAACAATTATAATAAAAATTAGTGTTCCTTTATGATATTGTATTTTAAAAGTTTAAAGATGGTGAAAAGGGAGCTGTCTGAACTTGTTTCATTTTATATGCAGCCTATGTGGATTAAGTGAACGCTCTTGTTTATGTAATAGTTGAACTTGTGGGAGTTGAGAGTTCAGTTCCATTGTCGGTCGCGCGTGTTTTAACCCACGAAGGTGTCTTCCTTAGGCGTCAGTGTGCGCGTGACCCGGGGCAGGGGGACAGCATGAGGCGCGAGGATTCCGACTCAAACAGCTTTTTTTCTTCTGGGGAAAATTCCGACCACGAGTATGAGGTACATTAACGCACTGTCATTACGGGCACAGTGTCGCTGTTTAATGGTGGCTTGAGTAATATACTGTACGACTTCCTACTTAAATTTACACATGCCTCCGGTGCTTCAGATGTAAAATACTGTTGTATAGGAGTAGTCTTTTGCTTCTATTAATCTTAATCTTAAAATCTCTCTCTCTCTCTCTCGCATACATACACATTCAGGTAAGCAAACTGAATGAACCTTCTTAGAATATTTTGTAATACACCGTAGGCGTTTGCATTCTAAAGTAAAAAGAAGATTCAAACCAAATAATACCTACTGATATTTTTTTCTGTATATAAGTGAACTTCTGTATATAAGTGAATTCTGTTATAGGAGGAGCAGGGAGCCAGGCGTCCGGAGATGGTCAGTGGATGCAGATGTGGGCGAGACAAGGGTCGGTGCATGCACTGCTGTAAAAGACGCACCAAGCCGGTGAGGGTCATTTACTTGCTCACTTCATTTTCCTATTATTCTGTATGTGTTACTTATCCAGTGCATGTTGTTCTGTCGTTGATTTCCTTCCTTATTTCTGTTCACCATTAAACCGTCTGGCTTTCCATTTATGCCATTCCTTGTTATTCTGTCGTCAATGTTTCTGTTTGCTGCTCTCTGTCATTGAAACTGCTAGTGCATCATTAGGACCTGGTTGTTATGGAGCAAAAAGAATGTATTTCGTAAAAAGCATGTATATCAGTGAAACAGACCTCTTCCCTTCCATCCATCTGAACAGGATGCAATGAAGGGAGAGTTCTGTGAGACACAATGGGGGCTGATAACCAGATACTCAGAAGGATATGGCACAGAGGTACTGGGAGAGTGAGTGAGAAGAGCATTTTGGCGTTGTACTTATATGAAACAGAGCATCAAGGCCATTTCTGAAGGCTAACAAAATCATGACTGTGAACAAGAAGTATTATGTGTGTAGTACAGAAGAGAAGCTCATATTTATTTAAGTAATTAAATGCTCTAAGCAGGGTATTTAGCTGATTGTAATCGATTATAATTGATTTTAACCAGTGGTAGTTAAAATCACCTAGTGTTATAAAGCACATCTGTGTATTTTTTTTTTTGTGGCATTAATTGATTGTTTTAAATTTGAAAGTATGGAGATCTGTGATATTGCCCACTGCTACTCTGGATGCCTGCTTTATTTTCCCCCAGGAGGAGTGTGGCCAGTCAGATCCTCAGGGAGAGAGTGATGCAGATGCTGATATAGAGGACACAGATAGCCGGTAGGCAGCATGTGCAAGTTCCTAGATGCACAAGGCATGCAGAATAAAACTTGTGCATACCTGCAGGGGTGTCATAAAGGGGGGGGCGAAGTTAGGATGATTCCTAAAAAATTTGGATTGGTCTGGGTTGGGGGCCCAATATGATCTGCTTTCATGTTGCCCAAAATCTCTAGTGCCGCCCCTGCACACCTGCTTATGTACCGTTTCCCCACACAGGACCCTGTATTTTACAGGTAGGCTTTCTTAAATTTTAATTGGCCCAGGCTTCCAGAAACAGGTCCGCTGCAGCGAATCAGCTCTCGGAGACGTCGCCGGCAACGAGTACCGCGGCAGGACACCACGGAAAGCGAGGATGATGGAGGGCGGAGCCACAGAGTTCACCGTTGGAATCTTCGACTCAGTCCTCATCGCACACACGGCAGGACTATCCTGGAGGTACGCAGCTACTGAAGCCGAATGCTAAAATGCATCAGTGCATCCAGCTGAAAAATGAGACTTTTCTGTAGCTGTACATGTTCAATATAAAATTATTCGTAAGATACCTAATCATATTTATACATGCAATATCAATACTGGTTGTCCATTAAAGGAAAAATGTAGTGTCAATAAAGACATATTAGGCACGTAAATAACTGTCCAGTATTAATATCCATTTCTACTAACTCCCTCCTCCGGCACAGTTGTTAGTTTATCAGTAACAAGCTTATAAGTAACATCTGTACAGAATCCTTACAAAGACAAATAGTTCTAATCTTACTTTGTTTACCATCCCCCTTTCCCTCTCCTTTTCTCAGGAAAGTGTGTCCCAGGTCCGGCCGCTTGTTCTCTGTCGGCCCTGTGTTGGCCAGGGCCAGCCTGATACCACACGATGGCCAAAAAGTGGAATGTGGTCACTGTGCAGGTGGCCGCTGTTACTCTCGGTCTCCCTGGTCCTCCTCCTCTTGCTCCCCGTCTTTGCTGTCATCATCATATTATTCCTAAGGTCTTCTGCCAATACCTGACACCTCTATTTCTTGCTGACTATTTTAGTCATTTTCATGTGAATACAATACTTATTTAATGTAAACCAACTGTCATTGCTTTTGAAAACTAAAACCTTAAAATATCTAAATATTAGGCCTGTTTTGCTATTTTTTATTCATTTGGAAGCTTAAGTATTCCCCCATGTCTTTTTTCACATCAACATAAAACCAGACTCCGTAATTGCTCATGGCTTAGTCAGCTTGTTATGTTTTAACCTTCCCTACCTTTCTGACTCAGTTCTCTCTGTGCTTTCATTCATTACAAAATGGAAACAGTGCATGAAATTATATCTGCTTTGTCACATGTCAAAATTGTAATGTGGAAAACTGTAAATAATTCAAGCTATGCAATCTGCCAGTCCATGTATTTTAAAATTTAGTATCCTGCCTTTTTCAAAAGTGATGGATGAATGGTGAAGCATTTAAATGTGCCCTCTAAGTCTCCCTAGTGGCAGTCATAGGGACTGCAGGAAGTCCTTGGAGATACAGAGGTATGGTGCTCAGGGTTTATAGTCAGTAAAACTTATAAAAAATTCTGATTGGGCAGAGGCCCTTTGTATGAAGGCGCTATTATCTTTTGTGCCCTACTGCTTACTTTGTAAATACAGTCACACATGCATGGCTGCTGCACCTCAGCTTGCCCAGCCTGCACTCAGTGTGAAGACAGAAAAAAATAGGCTTGTGCCATGTGGCCACTGGAAGACGCAGGTGGAAGGCCCTTTTGGCCTAGGCTGATACATTTGCAGGGGTGGGTGATGCAGCTTTCACTCTGTGAGTAAGCTTTGCCTTCGCGGAGAGCGGTTTGCATTCAATGTCTTACCAACCACCACTTCATTTGGGGCCTGATTGAAATAAAACTTGGTTAACATTTTTGAATGAATGTCTTTGTATTCTCTGTGGCTGATCAGGACAACAGCTGCACTTTGGGTTCAGCACTGAGAAAACAGAACCGTTGGATTTGCTTGTTTCACGCTATAAATGAAGCGCACACAACACTACTGCATCAGTCTAGCCAAACGGCAAAGTACAAACATCAGCTCTTGCTACACAGCAGTAAATCACATACACTGTTTTGCCATGAGGAGCAGGAATGAGGCAGAGGGAGTAATGCCTTTGTAAGAAAGGACTAACAATTTTTTTAAACAACAAAATAAAACCAGAAAAAAATATAAAGTCCCACCTCTAGCAAGAAACCTTAGTCAGGCACTTGGTCCAGCCTGGGTCAGGTGGGTTTATTGTTTGGTTTTACTGTATGCATGGAATTGAGAATCATTTGCCACGGCAATGCAAAAGCTCATCTATATCTAGCTTTTGTCATTGCTGTACCTCTAAGTAACTTACGAATAACATTTGCATTTATTCTATATAATGGTGAGGAACATAGTCAAATACCAGCAGTTTGTACTGTATGGTAAATGTTAATGTAAATCAAGCATGATCACATAGATTGTGACTCACCATTATACTGTCACATTAAAATTCCTGTATATTATGGCCAAAATCCTCGTTCTTCTCTTAAGAGGATTGTTTGTAGGTAGAATTGTGAAAAAAATGACATAAGTTCCACGTTATCATTTACTACAAAATAAATTGTTACAAAGTCAAGACATTTCTCAATAACTAACTGTACTTCACTGAGATCCAGTCCATTATTTGTGCTTCTTTTATCATGTTACTGAATAAATCAATCATAAGAACAGAGAATATGAAAGTATAACTTATCATAGTATAACCATTTCATTTCCATATCTCAGTAGGTCAGACAGATATTGTGGTCGGATGAAAACCCTGCCTGAGGCTGGGGGTTAGTCTCAGCTGTGAGACACTTTCTTAACACCAAAAGAAAACAGGCGGCGTTCTAAAATAAGGCCGGCTGCTCGGTCCATTAGAAAGCTAAGCTGGGAGTTTCCTTTAGTATCCCTGCCGTTTGTTTCCGGCATGGCTCTGACACTACAACAGCCAAACCATCATAATATTTATACAGTTAGATTTACTCCGCATTCAAGACAGAGGTGAAGGAAATGCCGTGAGTCTAAATCTGTGTTGGCTTTTAAGGCAGTATATGAATAATGTATATTCATATAAACTCTGATTTCTGCAGTTTTGTCCGCTGCATGTGGCATCTCTGCATCACTTTCTTAGCACACAGTCAAACCTATTGTTGCAAGATGGTATCTTCTAAAGCCCCATTAGGTAAATTATGAGGATGATTAAGTGCTTGTGTGCATTTTCCAACCATGCAACGACTCAACAGGTTCTCAGAAAATAATTTAACACTGGTTTCCATGGTGTGCTTTCTTTGATGCCATTCTGGTGCCATGAGGAGTAGGAATAAAATAATTCCATATTGAGTAAATTTAAATGTGTACCTATGATCCCATTTAACTGTTTCAAAGAGGCTGTACTTGTTAGTGGACATGTGGCATGCTATACTGGAATGAATCAGTGTATCCATTTTTCAACCATGACAGGTGGCTCTAGCGTGGTAAGGTTATGGAGGTAGGCTGTATAGCTCTCAACCAGGCAAGTGTGCTTAATCCTGTTGTCTTGAATGACACCTCATTACTAATTATTAGTGTTGTAGTCAGTTATAACAGAGGAACTTGAAAGGGCCAGACGTGTTAAACTTCCCTACTGACAATGAATTCAAGATAGCCTTGTGTTCACGTACAACCAGGGGTCCAAGGCCACTAGGCAACTATAACTATTTAACAGTTGCTCATTAACAGCTATAACATGGATAATGATAGCCAAAAATAGGAAGACCAGCATGTTCTTGGTGATAAATAGTCTGGTTTATCCTTAAAAATGAGTATGTTGTGTGAAATATCACCCTGGTTTATCCAACATCCGGCTGCTTGCTGAGACTTCTGTTGTGGTAACTGTGTGCGTCAACACTACAGTCTTCTCTTTGCAGTGGGGGGGGGGGGGGGACGACAGTAACCCCACTTATGCACAAATGTAGTTCTATACTGAAGTCCAGGCTGGGTCGGACTGGCGACAGAAACGGAATTAATTTGCTGCCGAGGGCCCAATTAGATATTTTGCCATGGATTGCAGGAGAGGTGGGGGGCTTGGCATGGCTTGCCACTGATAGGGGGTCCCTATTATACATATTTTGCCGATCGTGATCAATCGGTTGGCCACCAATGGAATCCAGCACTACCCATTGCTATTCTCTTGTGATTGACTTATGATCGGCCCTCTCTAGAGTGGCCCATCGGGAAAATTCACAAACCTCCCATTAGCCAGTCTGCACCTGGGTCCAGGCCAGCCGGCCGGTTATCCATTTCCACTGTGACGAAGACGGCAGGGGCTGCGATGTTGCCAATGGTCATTCTTGCTGGCAGGCATTCCGGCGTGTCTTGGAGGATGTTATCAGATGCACGGCAGGCAGTGAAAATAATATGTTGTCAGGTCTTCCAGCCAGCCATTACAGGGGATTATCCAAATGACTGGTCGTAAAAGATGAGCCACAGCTGCATCACGCACAGAAAGGCACAGTCTGTACTGCTGGAGGACGTAACACGGCTGATGAGGATTTGTGGTGCTGCCTCTCAGTCACTTGCCTCATCTAGATGCTGTGAATCCTCCTATATGGTAAACCGCAGGTCTGCTTTTTTCAAGTAAAGACGGAAGCTTGTGAATAAAAGTATATTTAGAACCATAACGTCACCAGGAAATTCACAAAACTTAAAGTGGTCTGTTCCATCTTTGTTGTGTTCCATTATCATTAACCAGTCATGGTTATATTGCAGCTGCGCTCATGTCTACATATTTCTTTCATATCTGGAGGATACCCATTAGATACTAACACAAAATCTTTATACGAGGACCAGCTATTGTCATAGGCTAGAATTTAGCTGTTCTGCAGGACACAACCCAAAGCAAAAAGAAAACCAGTTTGTACTATATAATGGTAGCAAATCTCGGTACAGGACAAGGTTATACCTTTCCTATGCACGTCAAATGAGATGATTCATAGAACACTGTTTATCAAGCTGAATAAAGGGTGTTTCTATCAGCCCTCTCTTCCCCCAGTGACCAGATCTCCACGGCAACCATCCTCATTGCAGGGAGAAAACATGTTTTTTCAAAACTGTGCCAGTGCCTGGCCTGAGCAGTTAGATATGTACTAGAATGTATTTTACATATATTTTGCGTATTTACTCTGCCAGTAAAGGTATAGGAATGTGCTTCAAATATTTTTTTTTACTGTAAATATTTGTCCTGCTTGTGATTGGGGTGGTATACTTAACCGGTTAGAACTGTTGTCTCAAACATCAAACATTGCGATTTTGGATCTCACTGAGCACTGCCTTCTTATTGCCACGTGCATATTTCTGACTAGGATGTTGATTTTGTCCATGGTCAGCCACAGTCTGAGTCAAAGGCCTGGTATTGTTTTCACCCTAGTATAATTTTATTTTGAAGACAGGCTGCTTTTACTGTAATGTAACGTTTCTGAAATATATAGTATATACACATACCCTCAATGGTCATTTTATTGCCAAAACATCTGCTTTTCCAAAGAGAGAATCATGTGTCTGCCAATATACATACAGCCAGGCTTGAATTTAAGGGGGTGGGGCCCCTCGGAAACAGCCACCCTACTGGAATTTACACATACTACAGCGTCGGGAGCCCCTAATGGGGCTGTAGAATCTACCATCTTGCAACAATAAGTTTGACTGTGTGCTGAGAAAGTGATGCAGAGTGCACCCAGTCAATGGCATTTCTCTGGCCAAAAACAGTTTATTTCTGAGGAGAACAGCCAGATTGTTAAATCTAACAGGAAGACCTTGAGAGCCACATGCACAGCTCAGTGCAACAGAGGTGTGTAACAAGGCATCTCAAAATGCACAGCTCTATATTTACTCACTAGCCTAAATGTGTTTGCATGTGTAAAAAGTATTTCATTTGGATCGCTAAAAAGAATAAGATGTAATTTTTTTGCAGTTATCACACATTTAAAAGATTTAACCATATCAAAATATGTTTCATTGGAAATCCTTTGTAATGGATTTAACAGTTGCTCTTTACTTTTTCTCTCCATAATATTTCTTTCTGGCCTTCTAGTATAACTGTTTGTAGCTATTTAAAGAAGACTGTCTAACAGGCTGCTCTGCAACAATATATGCTGACATCAATGAAATTAGACCCGGCAAACATCATATCAATCTTCCTGTATGATTGAGTTTGAAGGATGAAAGTATATAAATGAAAAGAAGTGATGTGCCAAAGGGCATTTCTGGAATTGGTAAGTCACAGCCAGGAAAATGACCAGGTACCTATAAATGCATTTTTCTTCATGCAAGTGCATGATGACTTTGTCCTCCTTGACCCACATGTACCATCATGATCCTGAGAGGAGTAACATGATACTCTCCTACACCCCCTGGAAATGCCCAGCTCCACAGTCCTCCTGGGCGCCACATGGTTCGCCTTCTAGGCCCCTAGTGCCTGACCCTGAGGCCTGTGGTGTACGGCGGTTTTGGGCTGAGAGAAATGAATACACATATATATTCTGTCCTTGGTTGATTGAATCCGCAGATATAGAGGGCCAACATTCTGATATTACGAAAAGCACAGTAGAGTGGACAGTGGACAAACTTAGCAAAAGACGGTGAAATGTGAAATGATATAAGCCGCAGGAGTTTTATTAGCAATACAAATTCAAACAGCAAAATGCTACATTTTGACAGCTCTTCACAGGTGGACAGGCTAAACGTCTGACATTACTGTATTTCTTATTGGTGTTACGGTATGAACAGCATGATGAATAGTGTTTGGAACTTTATAAAGCACATTAGAGATTTAATTCTTGTAAAAGTTTGAAAGCAACAGAGCTGATACAATACACAAGCAAATCACTTTCTGTACTTTTTCCTAGAGTAATTTGTTGCACGAAATATAATTTTCAAGTTAAATATTGAGCTTGGAAAAGGAGAGACTGGAAAAAAGATTTCACTTTTATTAATGAATGAAAGAGAAACATCTGGAGGAAATCTTCAGCAATGGCTTTGGATCAACTTTCCCTCCCAAGGAATTAGGAAAAAATGTAAAAAAATATAGCCCTCAATCAATAATGTTTACAGTTTTTGCACTGTAAGCATCAAGGCAAAGTAAATAAATAGGTTAATAGAGTCATTTATATTGTTTAATTTACTCAAAAATAAACATGTTAATATATCTAATTACACAGGTAGAAAGTTCAGGGCCAGAAAGTACAAATCCAGACCAAGGTTATGTTTCAACCAACTAGCTCAGTACTCTTATACTCAGCTAGCTGGCTAAAACAAAACCTTGGTCGGGATTTGTATTTCCTGGACCTGAACTTTCCACCTCTGGTTAACTGTCATGTTAAAATAGACCCCACAGAGATGTGCCCAGCCCTTACAAAGTTCAAAGAGTCTTTTGTTCTCACAGAAGTCAACTTGCATGCATTTTTCATAAACAGTGGAAATTAAATAACATATATGGAGCCGAATGATTCATTCAGGGAAGTGTTCTGCCATAACATAGAGTCTTCCATATATAGCTTCACTTATTCACAGTTGTTTATATTCATATATTCCATACATCCTTCCATGTCTGTCTGAGCAAGAATTAGCTGACCCAAGGATTCAATATACTGTACATGTCCCCACTTGAAAGCTGTGCTTACAATATCATCCATAGCCAGAATGGTTTGGTGAGACTCTTTTCCAAAAGGTACACCATGCAGAAAATGCTTTTCATAGAGAAAGATACAAGTACTGCTTTTTTATTTTCTTGGCTTATCCATGATTGTTTCTTCCTTTACAACATCCCAAACCTTTCTATACCAAGTATGAGCCCCTGCAGGACATCTGGCAGGACCTGGCCTGTATGTAGGAGTGGAGGAGCAATTTTTCATTGGTGGTCAATGGGAAAAGCTAAATGAGACTATACAGACAAACAAATTGGGCCCTGGATTGTGAAAAGGGTGCAGAAATTAGGTGCAGACCTGGATACTGGGGTCTACGTGCTTTCTGTTAATCCTACATAAATAACTTAGACATATATGATGGGTAATAAATGATATGGTGAAGTGAATGAAGCAGCTTCACCTCATTCAAGCCCAGGATGTTGTCACTCATTTTCTTATATTCTATGGTTCCCAGTATGTACCCTGCAATATCAAGTGTTTTTGTTGGCATTATCATAAAAAACTCAGCGCCATCATTCTCATTGATTTGATTTCTGCGGATTACTTGATAGAATATATACAGCACAAAATACTTACTTGTTACCATATCCATTAAATTCAAAACACTTTCTTTTAAGCATACATGTGACCTACTGTATGGTTCCAACTTTTATTACATACGGTTTGCGAATGTAGTTTAGGTTACTTAAGAAATAAGCAAAATAACTTTCTTACATAAGAACATAAGAAATTTACAAATGAGAGGAGGCCATTCGACCCATCAAGCTTGTTTGGGGAGAACTTAACTAATAGTTTAATGGTTTTCTTCCTCCCTTGCCGTGCGAGCTACCAGACCTCGCAACGCCAGCTTGCAGGAGGAGAAGGAAGTGGCGAGAGGACACGCTGGGCGTCTTTCTGGGGGCCATCTCGATCTCAGCTACCTCACCTATGGCGTGTCGGGAGGAGCCCATCCATCGGTATTTGCGCAAGACGCCCTTCTGCCTGCTGCTTCGCCTGCGCACAACATCCTTCTGCCTGCTGCTTCGCCTGTGCGTGAAGCCCATCTGCCTACTGCTTTGCCTGTACACGAAGCCCGTCTGTCTGCTGCTTTGCCTGCACCTGAAGCTCGTCTGCCTGCTGCTTCGCCTGCGCCCAAAGCCTGTCTGCCTGCTGCTTCGCCTGCGGACAAAGCCCGTCTGCCTGCTCCAGTCCCTGTGGTTCCTGATCCCCTGGTCGGGTGCATGCGGTCCCTCCTCCGATGCCTCGTCGCTTGCCTGCGGTTCCCCCAGCTCCAGCTCGTCACTCACCTGCACCAGCTTCTCCTCCTTTCTCGCCTCCTCCGTTGTCCCCTTCACCTCCCTCCTTGCCTCCTTCATCAGTCCCTCCACCTTCCTCCTCACCCCCTTCGGTATCCCCTCCGGCTGCTGCCTCACGGTCGCCAAGGGTCCCGCCTGCTCCGCCCTCGCGGTCGCCCATTGCCCCTGCGGCTTCCGCCTTCCACCCACCGGGGGTCCCTCCAGCTCCCCGTTTTCCCCCGCCCTTTGCTTCCTTGCCTCCTGGTTTTGTGCCCCCTGTGTTTGCTCTCCATCACTCTGTAATGCCTATGTTCCCTCCTGGTCCTTTTGTTCCTCCTGTTGGTTTTCTGTCCCTTGGTGAGGTCTCTTCATTGTTCCCGTCTTTGGTGTCACTGTGTCTCTCTGTGTTCCCCGTGGTTTGTCTGTTCTGGTTGGTGTTTTGGTCCTTGTTCTGCGTGTCAGTGTTGTTTCTCGTGGTGTGTTAATGTTCTTGGTTTTGTTATGCAAGTTAAACTGATTGGCCTATAGTTTGCTGGATTACTTCTATCCCCTTTTTTGAATACGGACATTATATTGGCATGTTTCCAATCAGAAGGTACAACACCAGCATATATGGATTTCTGGAATAGTAAAGTTAAAGGTTGGCTAATAATATCCCTCTTCTCTTTTAAAACTATAGGTAAGATGCCATCAGGGCCCTGCAATTTATTTATTTTGAGCTTAGCTAGGCTTTGTACCACATCAGCCTCAGTTATAAATACTGTATATTGGTAATAGATGACGCTGCATTCATACTAAATGGTGGTAAGTTCTCTACTGTGAACACCCGTGTAAAATACTTATTAAATTCATTTACTATGTCAATTTCATTTTCACTTGCTTACCTATTTATTGACCAAATGTTATTTGACCAAAGACGAAACCTACCTACGTATTTTTAGACTTCAGGAATAGGCCCCGTAAATATTCAGAGATCACGCAAACCCCACACACATGCACAACTGTGTCAACAAATACCCAATGGTAAATTAAACAATCTGATATATTATTCAGGTAGGTAGTTGTTTATTTTAGTATATGTATACATTACATTGACAGACATAATAAAGGTTTGTAAACTAAATTACACCAGTGAAAGATCCTGCTCTGTAAACTGTTGAAAAGCTTGAAATAAGAATTAGTATAAGGAACATGACCATTTATGCTTTAAATAAATCGATTACATTTATAATGGACAAATAATACAGTTAATAAAGAAGACTTTATTTAGACTTAAAAAATTACTTTGAGCTTCCATATAAAAGCAAAACAAATACGTTTTTGCCCTATCATCATTAAATATGGCACCGAACTGCAAGCTAAATTGTGCCACTAGGGGGTGGTGCGCTACATCACAGAAATAAATACGAAGACAGTATACAGACGGAGTACATGCAGAGAGAACGAAACTGAACTTATCTTTGCGATAAAGTAACTGTGATATGGAAGAAGGATATTATTAGTGAGAGGGCATACCGGCAACTCTCAACTTATATACAACCAACTCAAAAATCAGTAACCATCATTAAAGGAAGCACTAACACAAAATGGTAACATGTAAATGTTTAAAATTATATTATATATCTTCATTAGTATTTAGTAGTACTATATTTTTGGAGTATGTTTATGTTTGTTTATGTTTTTTCTATAAAGTGTTTTGAATGATAAAGGTAAATCCAAGTTACACAATTCGACATACCTAATGCTTTTTGGAAGGGATTACTTGCGTCGGTCAAGAAATTCCTGAGAAACATTGAGATATTAAGACTGATTATAATATACGGGCCGGGTACATATTTGTAGAAGGGTGTGAATGTGCGAAATAGAGGAGGACAGCAGCAGGGTGTGTTGTGAGTATGCTGGTGAAAAACAATCAAGTCAGTAAGGACAAATCATTGTAATAAAGCAAATTATGTGAGATGAATAAACTGGCTGCGGCCACAGGTGTCAGAGGGGCATGGATACCTTGGCAGATTCAGGGGACTCAGCACTTTCTATGGGCCCCAAAATATACTGTGGGGTCTCTCCTCAGTCGGCAAATTCCATCAACCCTGGGACCGATATTTCTTTAGATTGAAGAAAGCCTGGGACACAAGGTGACATTTTGCCAGGAGGCCCAGCATTTCTAGCTACTCCCCTTGCGGCTGTCTGGGTGTGTGAGGGACACTTATCAGCTTCTTAAGTGTGGTGGCAGCCGGAGCACACAGGCTCGTATATCAGTTTTGGGTCCGGGCATTCGGCCCATGTTCTCCCAGCGGAGACTTGCAGGGTCGTACCGATGCAGTAGTGCAGACTCACTGTAATCCTCTTGGCTGTAGCCTCCCAGGATGTAGACTTTACCTTCAAGAACTGCGGAGGCAGCACCCACGTGGGGTATGGGGAGAGAAGGGATGGAACTCCAGCAGTCTGTCATTGGGTCATAACTCTCACAGAATAGCTGGTCTGTGTAGAATTTACGCAGGTTGCAAACTCCCCCAGCTACATACAACCGGCAAGTCAGTTTCTCCATGCAGTGCTCGGCTCGATCTTGACTCATGTCACTCAGGTAGGTGGTTCCTCTTTCTGGGTGGTAGAGGAACATAGACACTAGGCACTGGTACTTGCAGTTGAATCCCCCTGATATGAAGATCTCTCCTTCCCAAACCGTAGCTGCATACCCACTCGAGGCTTGGTCAAGAGGATGAGCAAAGCTGAAACAGTTAAAGTCAAAAAGGGAGAATCTTTAAAATGAATGTTACTGAAATGATTTTTTACCTAATTAGAAAGAAGCGTCACATTTTATTATGCCCAACAAGAAGATTTTTGCAACTATCTGAATCCATCGCAACTTAAACTCAAGTCCTGCTCCTCCACCTCTTCCAATTCCTTATGTTCAGCCTACCTCCAGTGGTTTTTATCAGGACAGTAGCATTCTACAGTGGCTAAGTTAGTGTTGATTTCCTTGTCTCCTCCCATGGCGTACAGCTTTTCCCCTCGAACCACTAGTGAGAAGTTGCTCCGGAACTCATGCATATCTGCCAGCCTCTGCCAGGTGTTCTGTACAGGATCATACCTGGGCAGAGAAATTTTTTAAATAATTGATTGATATAGATAGATATATGATAGATAAATAGATATCTAGATAGATAGATCATATAACTGATTACTATTCACTTACCTGTAGGCTGATTTGAGAGTGTCACCCTTTGCATAATAGTCACACCCCCCAGCAATGTATACCTGACCTCCAAGGACAGCCAATCCATGTCGGAATCGGGCAGAATCTGGCATCTCTCCCAGTAACCTCCACTCTACCTCTTTCACTAGGCCAGTTCGGTTGCGCAGGGAGTTAATGAACCACAGCTGTCTACTTGGTAGGCGTTGCCCAAAATCAGGGTCTAGTTGGTCTCCTCCGACAACTAGCAGGGTGTCCTTTGGATGGCGGACTCTGCACTTTTGCAGAGAATCAGATAAGCCAAACCCAAACTCCTTCAACGCCGCACCGTACAGGTCCACCTCTTTCTCACCATCGCACTCCATACGTAGGTTGATGGCTCGCACCTCTCTGAACTCCCGGAACGTCATCAACGGGAACCGCACCCCTGTCATGAGTTGCTTAGCCAACCCTAATCTCTCTTTAGGATTGGCTTCAATCCATGCCACTATTGCTCGAAACACAGCCAGCTCAGAAGGTACACAGAGGGAGTCAGAGCTGGAGTAATCATAAAGTTTCTCTGGAGGCAAGTCAAGAAACTTAGGAGTGGCTGCCACTTCTGGGAAACACCTCAAAATGAAGTCTTCTGCTAGCTCTTGTAGTGCAGGCATCCCATAAGCCTCAGCAAAAGAAGCCACATCCAGACATGAGTTTGCATCTATCTCCTTGTGCAAAAAATCAAGACATAGGGATAGAGCGGGCTGTATTTGGAGCTGGAGGGCAGTACAGGTAAGCTGGAAAACAGAATCCCAGCCAAGTGGCAAAGTCCCAGAGTAGGAGCAGTCAATGAGGGTTTCTAGCTCCACAGAACCCAGGGACAGGAGTGTGATAATTGGCTGATGGGATTCTCTCATGCCACTGGTGAACATCGCACGGAAATAGTCACTGGAGGCAGCCAGGATCACTCGGTGTGCTAAGGCATAAGATAAGGGGAGAAGGTCGTAACCAGGAGATTCAGGAACAAACATAAGCAATGTTTTGTAAAAACGAGAAAAACAGCTAAGAATACAAAGGGTCAAGAAAAAATAAGTGCAAAACTGTAGTTATGTTATTTATAGAATGTAGTGTGAAAGGAAATATGGAATATAACTATATGAATACTTCAGCAGTTCCAGCTGTATGTCTATGCCAAGGATGGGCAGCCCTGATCCCGGAGTGCTGCGATCCAGCAGGTTTACTATCCCACCAGGACTCTGAAGAACCACATTTGATCTCATGCAGAGAGTAACTCATCAGGTAGGACAGAAATCCTGCTGGAAACTGGCACTCCAGGATCAGGCTTGCCTACCCCTGGTCTATGCTGTATGTCAGTGGTTCCCAACCCAGTCCTCAGGGATCCGCAGACAGTCCACGTCTTTGCTCCCTCCTAACTCTTAACCTTCTGCTGTGTGTAGCCCTAGGCAGAGCAATACTAGAACTCTCCTGAGGGATTATGTAAGAAAGAAGCTAATGCTGTGTGAGAGTAACAATAGAGATGTGACAGCTGAGAGAAATTGGGAAAAGTATCACTGAATGATAGTAATTAAACAAAGGAGTTATAATCAAGAAGTAGCTCTGGCCTGAAAGAAACCATGGAGAGAGGACTGAACTGCAACTAAACCTGATAATCAAACACCTGAGCATTAAGAAATCTGTTCAAATTCTGTGGAACTGCATCATAATATCGGTTATACTCACCATGAAAGCTTTGGCCTTCAGCTTCCAGCTCCACATCACAACCCAACTTCTCCATCCATAGCTGCCTGATGCATTGAAGACTCTCTTTAAGTTTTCTTTCTATTTTCCTCTCCCTTTGCACCTCCTCTACTTTAAATTGCTGTTCCTCTTTCTCACTGCAGACCTCCAGCACTCTGGAAGCCTCCAGCGCATGAGCTGCAGCCTGAACCTGAGCTACTCTCTGGCCAGTGAGCCCCAGAATAGTGCCAGTGTAGGCAAATTCCACTACAGAAGCAAGACCTGCAAATTCTATCTCTGGACCCAGAGATACACACAGTTCCCCATCAGGGCAACTCAGGTCAGCTTCACTCTGTTCCTTCTGGGCATTTTTCTCTTTGTCCCTTTGTTGTACCTGCCGATGGAGCAGGGTGCTAACAGCAGCCATGACAGAGGAGTGAGTGCACAGCCGTCTACCATCTGCAGTGCTAAGAGTCAGGTCTGTAAGGACCAGAGATTCCTTGAAGTCTTTCAGAGCCTGGAAAATCTCCACAGTGTATGATTGTTTGTAGTATGTCTTGGTCTCCTTCTCCCCCTCATCCTCTCCTTGTTCTTCATATTCAGTTGGATTTACCGCTTCGTTTTCCTTCCTTTCTGTTTTACCCTTGATGTTTGACTCTTTCACTCCCATTCTGTGGCTGTTATAAGCCTTGATCCATTGCAGTTTCCTGTTTTCCGCCTCCAGTCCTTCACCCCCTTCTGCTTGCATTTTCTTCCTCTGTTCTTTTTCTGCTTTCCACTTTTCCTCCCATTCCTTTGGTAAATGTTTGTTTATATCCATTCCTGAATTATAGCAACTGAAAACTGCTTAAAAATACTTAAACTGGGTATTACATTTTCAGACTTTCCCATTCTACTTTTGCCTGTCCTCAATGTATTCAGATTCTCCCACACTCAACACTAACTCTAGATATAAACAACCCACTAATTATAGAAACAGGGTCAGAGGATTCATTTCCAGTAGAGTGCACACTTATATTACAACTCAGTTACATTATCAATCTCTTCTTAATTTAAATTCTTATTGTTTTATCATCAGTAGCCAACGCTACTACATAATTTAATATTATTATTTAATGTTATACAATGTGACTCTATGTTACTCTCCTGTTTATGTACAGTTAGAATGTAGTCAAAACAATACGGCAGTTTTCTTTGTATCTATTTTGACAATTATTTATTTGTGATCAGACAACAAATTCAGGCAGAAACTTTGTGCAGCTCATTACTTTAGTATTAGCTTAATTTTATTTTTCTTATGTTTTTTTTGAGAATTTAGTCATTCAGATATTTGTGACTTATTTGCATACTATTATTTGTATAGTGAGCAACATAAAATATTGCTAAAATACAATTTACAGCAAAATAGTCATTTAAAAAATAATTAAATAACCATAACTCAAGAATAAAAATTACAGAAATTCATTAATTTTATTTCATTTGGTGATTATAATATTTCTCCTTTTATGTAAATGAATTTCTTTTAATGGATCAAGAAACACTGAGGTCATAATTTATAAATAAATGTCAGTAAATCTCATAAAATTTCCCTTTCCGCTGTTAACTTTGTTCATTAACGTAATGAATAAAAAAAGCGGACATTGAATGGATTAATGAGCTCAGTGTGTGTCTCCTTCACGAAGCGCCTTAGTGATTTCCCTCAGTGTGTGTCTCCTTCACGAAGCGCCTTAGTGATTTCCCTCAGTGTGTGTCTCCTTCAC